TACAGCTTGAACAAATTTATATAAATTACGTTAACAACATCATTTTTAAAGAAATATGGCTTACCTCTTAAGTTATTTGCCCGTGATGTAACTATTTCAAAAAATGGGAAACAATTATTAGCATAGATTTTGTCATAATAAATTAAACAAGAGAAAGCTGGGACAGAGAGGATAAAAATGTCATTCGTCGATTTTGGAAGGGGTCCATGACGTACGATTTTTTTGAAACCTTGAGGAAATACACGTCAGTTATCCCTGAAGATATTTCAGAAATCCGAACACGGCCACACGCACTTTTGAAATTGTCAAAATTCATTAAAAAAGAGAAAGCTGAGACAGAGAGGATAAAAAATATAGAAACTTGTCAATTTTCAAAGGGGTCCCCGACGTACGATTTTTTTGAAACTTTGATGAAATACTCACCAAGTATCCCTGAAGATATTTCAGAAATCAGAACTCGCCCGCACGCACTTTTGAAATTGTTAAAATTCATTAGAAAAGAGAAAGCAGGGTTTGGGGGGATATAAATATAAACTTGTCAATTTTTGAATGGGTCCCCGACGTACGATTTTCTTGAAACTTACATAAAATACTCGCCAAGTATCCCTGAAGATACTTCAGAAATCCGAACACGCCCGCACGCACTTTTGAAATTGTTAAAATTCATCAAAGCTGAGAAAACTCGGACGGGAGGGATAAAAATAGACATTTGTCAATTTTGGAAGGGGTCCCCGACGTACGATTTTTTTGAAACTTTCAGGAAATACTCGCCAAGTATCCCTGAAGATATTTCAGAAATCAGAACTCGCCCGCACGCACTTTTGAAATTGTCAAAATTCATTAAAAAAGAGAAAACTGGGGCGGAGAGGAGAAAAATGCAAACTTGTCCAGTTTTGATGGGGTCCCCGACGTATGATTTTTTTGAAACTTTCAGGAAATACTCTCCAAGTATCCCTGAAGATATTTCAGCAATCAGAACACGCCCGCGCGCACTTTACAAATTATGAAAATTCATTAAAATCGAGGGTGCGGGGCAAAAAACGACATTTTCGTATTTTTCAAAAGTTTCCCGCCACCGATTTGGCTGAAAATTTTAGGGAATTATTTAGAAGTGTTAGGGAACACATTTCAGTCGTCAAATCATCCCCAGCGACAGCGGGAAAGCTTAAAAATTAAAAAATTTAAATTCTGGGCTGGGCTGAGCTAACTTCCTGTACATGCAAATCTGACGAGAAATTATGGCATGGCGACGAAGTTTGTCGAAAACAAGGTGGTGCCGGCGGGTGTGCCTTTGCGACATGTCCATAACAGCAAAAAGAAGTGCTGTGCCAAATTTCATGCAAATCGGACGAGGAATGGTGAAATTATGGCATGGCGACGAAGTTTGTCGAAAACAAGCTGGTGCCGGCGGGTGTGTCCTTGCGACATGTCGATATAACTAGGTAGGTAGGTGTGTGTTTATTCAAGATTGATGTAGCATTAGCTTTTACAATCATAATTCATTCATTTCATACAAAAACAGCATTCAGAGAGATATACATACATAATTTCATCCTATGCTACTCAAATCAAACAAATCTCTTAAAGTGTCTTTAGTTGTGGGCATTATCCACAAGTAGCACCCGGCATCCCAATACAGGCTAACTACACACCATGACAAACATGTATATGATAGGTTCATAATTAAATGATAATATGTATGCAGCAGTATGGGTGTAGAGGGAAAACCGGAGATGGTCTCGGAAAACCTCTACATGTATTGGGAATGTGGCCCAATACACCATTCGGCCCATTACTGCTGGACACCAGTTAGGAAAATGTATGGCAGTGATACATGGGCGGATTCCGTGGTGGTGGTGATATCCAAATGAGGGTGGCGTCTGCATGCGGAAGTAGACAGGTGAAGGTTGTTGGGCGGGGGCTGTCCACGGACCGCGGGATCTTGCCCACGTCCCCCATGGTAGCCGTAGCCGGGGCCGACGACACCCCCACTTGCCCCTTCCCCCATCACAATACAATCAGGTCATGGGACCCCCGTAGACCTGACCATGTCGCCCCCCGTCATGCACGACCCCCTCCGCCACTTTTCAAACAACCACTCCCCACGGTCACCACCCCGATATACCAAACAAAAACCTACCTGGGGAGTCCCTCCAAGGCGTAGATCCTCCTGTGCACTGGGTCCGGCGAATCCATCTTCGCCTGATGGCTCAGCTTGTCGTTGCTGGGACGGGTGTGGCAGGGGGTGTCACTAGGCACGCAGGTGGGGGGTGTGAGTGGACGAGGCTCACATGGCAAAAAGCCTTTAGGACACACTTTACTTGCCCTGGCACACCCGCGACCCAGATGGAAGAGGATCCAGATGCAGAGCGAGAGAGAGACACGTGGTGCACGGAGGAAGCCAAAGAGGAGACTTATGTCGATATAACTAAAAAGAAGTGTCGTGCCAAATTTCATGCAAATCGGACGAGGAATGGCCAAATTATGGCATGGCGACGAAGTTTGTAGAAAACAAGGTGGTGGTGGCGGGTGTGACCTTGCGACATGTCGATAACACCAAAAAGAAGGCTCTGTCAAAGTTTAATGGAAATCGGACGAGAAATGGCGAAGTTATGGCATGGCGACAAAATCTGGCGAAAACAAGGCGGTGGCGGCGGGTGGGACCTTGCGACATGTCGACCATACCAATTAGGAGCGTTGTGCAAATTTGATGCACATCGGACAAGGAATGGCGAAATTATGGCATGGCGACGAAGTTTGTAGAAAACAAGGTGGTGGTGGCGGGTGTGACCTTGCGACATGTCGATAACACCAAAAAGAAGGCTCTGTCAAAGTTTAATGGAAATCGGACGAGAAATGGCGAAGTTATGGCATGGCGACAAAATCTGTCGAAAACAAGGGGGTGGCGGCGGGTGGGACCTTGCGACATGTCGATAGCACCAAAAAGAAGTCTCTGTCGAAGTTTGATGGAAATCGGACGAGAAATGGCGAAGTTATGGCATGGCGACGAAGTTTGTCGAAAACAAGGAGGTGGCGGCGGGTGGGACCTTCCGACATGTCGACAACACCAATAAGAAGCATAGTGCCAAATTTCATGCAAATCGGCCGGGAAATGGCGAAATTATGGCATGGCGACGAAATTTGGCTAAAACAAGGAGGTGGCGGCGGGTGGGACCTTCCGACATGTCGACAACACCAATAAGAAGCATAGTGCCAAATTTCATGCAAATCGGACGAGAAATGGCGTAGTTATAGCATGGCGACAAAGGTTGTCGCCATGCCCTGCAGTTATAAGTGGGGAGCTGTTAGCCGCCCTTAAAAGGGCGTTTCCAGAGCACACGACGAGGACGTCGCTCCCTCGTGCTCCACGCGGGTCGGCCCCCACGGACGCCCGAATGCGTCCGCGGGGTTCTACCTCCACCGGCCGGGAAAGCCCTGCCCACGTCGCCGCCTCTGCAACCGCGTTCCCCGTGGGGGCCCGTCTGACCCTCGCCTTACGAGGTGGGAGCGCACCCGTAAATCGGCCCCCATTAAGGCTTCGAACTCGGGAACCCGGCCGGCCCCAAGGGGAGGTATCGCTAAAGAGCGGCGTCACCCAAGGGTTGGAGGTAGAGAGCCCCTCTCACTTGCCAAGCGCCACCCGCACTTTTGGCAAGCCCCGCCGGCTCCCCACCCGGTGAGCCTGCTTGGTGGGAGGAGCATTGGAGGGGGGACCTTCCCGTAAGGCTCTCCCCTTGCAGCGTTGCTCCCCCGGACCACCCCTCCAACGGGAAGAGAGTCGGGGCTGTGGGACAAACCACGGGTGGACCCGACTCCCCAGAGAGGCGGTCCGGGGGCGCAGCTGCAATGGGGAGCTCACCCAGGGACACATCCCCCACGAGCGCCTCCCGCAGACTGGCAAAAATTTCTGGTGCAGCTCCTTTTATACCCTCTGGAGGGCGGTGAAAGTTCTGCTATAAATAGCACCCAGTGCTATAGCCTATGTGTTAACATAGACTATAGCACCCAGTCATACTGGGTGCTATTAATAGCCTATGTATATTAATAGCACCTGAGATAAGCGGCCTCACATGTTCCGTGTTTACAATTGTTACAAATAATTCATCATTAATAATTAATTATTTCAACGTTGTTGAGGTTGGGTAAATGTCGATTCTATATTTGTATCAAACATTTTGTAACGGCCCACGGCGAGGCAAATGGTCCTAGACGTATATAATTTGCTGTTATATTTACCGAAAATTATAAATCGTGAGATGAACATTGACTTAGCATATTATTTTAGTACACGATGATAACAGCTTGTTTTTCCTTTTTAAGCAAGCCTCACCTAAGCTTTTTTTAAAGAATTTATTTATGAGGCTATCGAAGCAACTGTCGTAACCTTGTATTATGATAAATGATAAATTGTCAAGCAATCTTGCTTTGATTTAATTCCGCAAAACAAAATCGAGAAGAATAAAGTAAGTTATTTATTTACTCTTTAGATTTTTTTTTTATAAATAATTGGGTATTATTTATTATTAACATAAACATTGATAAACTATGAAATACACTTAGTTGGCTTGGGGAGTAGAGGAAAAACCCGATGTTGGTGGGTTGGGAAAACCTTTACTTGATCCGGATAGGCGTAAAGTAAAGTAAGTAAGTCATATTTTCCCATGGTGAGGAAAGTAGGGAGACTTTGTAAGTTCAGGGGTGAAAGTGGTGGATGAAAATGTTCTATTTTTTATGGCTTTAAGATACCTTAACGCATTCTCATAATTCATGAAAATTGTGATGAAGATTATTACGACTAATGACGAGTAGGCACGTAAGCACGGGTATGAATAATAACAAATGGCCAAAGATATGCACACCTTTTTTACAAAAGCATATTATATGGAACTCAAATGAATGAATATTATTGAATTTTTAAATTACTCTGAAGTTAAGTAATGTTGGAAGTTGGAACGTACGTTATGGCAAGTGACAATTGCTGGAATGAGAAATTGCCGAAATGGGAGGGAATTGCACGCGGGCTGGTGGCTGGACACTCGAGTTTCGCAATTCCGGTCATTTGTTATTTTTTTTTCATTTCACTTTTTATTTTTAGTTTGCTTTCTTTTCAAATTTCTGTAATTTTTTAAAGTGCTTAGTCCTTTTTACCAATTTTGAGTTAGTTGTTTATTTAGTAAATGGGGAGCGGGGCAGACAGAACACATGTAGAAAGTAGAAACGGTAGAATATTTATTTTTACGAAGGATGTACAAGAAATCTGAGGTCAAAGTTTGACCACAAAGTTTGACCGGGTCAAACACTTGTGGATCTCGAGTACCGACACTAAGTAATGTTATTTTTGAACTGAAAAAGTGGGGTGAGTTGCAGTTATGTTCTGACGATGGCTGGTGGCATGGTGGTGGTGGCAGGTGGCAGTGGCATGGTGGCATGTTTGTGCTATATTGGTATGGTTGGTGGCATGGGGTGGCACTTTGGTGGCATGGGGTGGCAGGGTCGCATGGGGTGGCAGTTTGGTGGCATGTTTTCAAAAATTCAAAATCTCCAATTTTTTCAAAATTTTTTGGTGGGGTATACTTCGTATTTATGCGAGCGGAGCGAGCAGGTTAGGTTAGGGGCGCGAGCCTAGATAAGCTGCAGAGGTTGATGTTTAGCCTTCTGGACCACTCGTTTTTCGCATTTTCGCAAATTTCTAGGACACACGGTACGCAAATTTCTAGGACACACGGTACGCAAATTTAACCTAACCTAACCTGCTCGCTTCGCTCGCTAAAAACGAACGATACCCCAATACGGAGAGTAGAATTTCGACGAAAAAAATTTTTTTCACTGAAAAATAAAAGTCTTAGAATGTTCTGATGAAAAAAAGAGTGGTCCAGAAGGCTAGAACCATACCTTCTAATCTAACCTCGCTTAAATACGAACATTATCTTACCAAAAAATTTTGAAAAAATTGGAGATTTTGAAAACATGCCACCAAACTGCCACCCCATGCCACCAACCATATCAATATAGTACAAACATGCCACCATGCCACTTCCACCTGCCACCACCACCATGCCACCAGCCATCGTCAGAACATAACTGCAACTCAACCAAAAAGTGAATTTAGACAGGTAAAGGTAACTTAACTATTGCTGGTAAATAAAGTTGACGATTAAAAAAAATGATTTTTGGAAAAGGACCCAAGGATCATCATGAAACCGGAGAATTGTGAATCCATCAAGGAGAATCTAGGTTCGACACAGTCTTCTGGTTACAACTCGAATACTTCGGATGAAGGGTTACAAATTATGTCCCCAAAAAATACCTCAAGATTGAGTATGTGGTCAAAAATAAATTACATAGGAATGGAATGTGATAATACTGACATACTGATTTGATTTTTTTAGAACTCGAGGATTCAGCTAATACTGCAGATGAAAAAGTAACAATGGAACAGATTGAAATAAACGAAAAACTAATTGGAAGCCCTGTTTTGGAACGAATCATCGAATCACAATATGAAATTGATACTGTTTTGTCATGTCGCGACGGTAAAGTTGGAGCACACCGAATTGTGTTAGCGTCAGCGTCGCCATTCCTAGAATGCTTGTTGGCAGACCATGTAAGTAGAAGATATTATGGATTATGGAGGGTTCACAAATGTTCATAATGTATGCGAACTAATCAGTTCTTTTATGTCGTGTAGGATTTGGGTGAATTGGCAACAATTGTACTTCCGGACATCCCTGTGAAAGTCATGACACTAATTCTACACTTCTGTTATAATGGCCAAGTTGTGTTTCCGCTAGAACTACAAAAGGAAATATATGATGACATGGAGTATCTGATGATTGGAACCGGGAAGGAACTTTACATAAAGAAAGTAATTACCCAACCACCATCTAATTCGAATCTTACTCTTCAAGCGAACCCTGCACAAGCCCTTGAGAAACTTGAAGGTACAATCCTAATTACATTTATGAATTTCTTTCTTCCTTTTAACTATGAATTAGCTATGACTGATAAAATGGAATTTATATTTATCCTCGTTTAAGAAAATACGGCTACTACCCCTCTCGTTCGTTTCCCATCACCAGATAGCGAAACAGAAATTGGAAGTGATTCAGAAACCGAATGTGAAACGGAAGTAGAAAAAGAAATCTCAATTTCAAATACAGGTTCATCAGTTTTTACAATTGGTCCAGACAGGAAAGATAGATTTTATCGTTGTATGTTTTGTGATTATAAAAATCAACTCAGGTCTAACCTGGTCATGCATATAAAAAATCAGCATAATAAGGAAACCAAATTGGAATTACCCACATCAGCAGACATGACAAGCTTATCCTTTTGTCCAGAGTGTAAAGTGCAACACCTGACCTTGTCAAATTGCGATGGCTGCTTGAAGAAACACCAAATGGCTCGATGCTACACATGCTTTGGAGTTTTCCTTTCTGACCAATTGATACCACATTATAAAGATGCTCACGGTATCAAGTCGAAGTATGGATTTGTCTCTCCGTGTCGCTGGTGTGATATCGCCATTGGCATAACTGACGATGGGAGCCTGCTTCGAAATCATGCAATAAATTCGCACACTGCAACGTTCGCTAGGGCGACAAAGAAAATTTCGTCTTCATCACCAGTGAAAAGACGGAAAGCACAGAAAAGTTCCACCTCCAACAGCAATACAAGAATGACTAGAGGTCTTTCAATGTCAACTTCTGTCAACCCTTCATCTTCAGTACTGCCATTTGTACGCATATTTCAACAAAATTTGTACAATTCTAATCGAGAATCTCAACAATATGCCACAGAGGTAAAAAAACGAAAGCATGATGAACACGGAAAACCACTACAAGTTGCAAAGAGAAGTAAAGGTCCTCCTACACAAAGGGAAGGGAAGATATTAAGGTCCACAACGAAGTATAATAAGGGCATATTAACCATCCATCCAAATTCAGCTACCAGAAAAATCCCAATTGATCAAGTACCAAAAGTCCATGTGCATCTTAATTTACAAGCCGATGATTCTGAAGAGGAAGTTGTGACCTGAAGTTTCAAGCCTCAGAGGCAATCAAATTAACGATGTCTTGGAGCAGAAGAATTTAAATTTAGAATACGAACATAACGATTGATTACAAAGCATAATTTTATATTGTTATATCATTAGCAAATCATACCTAACCTACGCCTGTACTCGTAATTGTAAACATATTGCTAAAAAATGGCTTTTGATTTACTTTTATAAAAGCGCTTTTATTAATTAGCTTTATTTGAGCCAAATCAACCATGATCTGTGTCAACAACCCGGTGGCCGGTACCTAGTAATCTCAAACTCAAAATTTTATAAATATAATGTTCGAGCTGGTCTTAAAAAGTGTAAATTAAAGTAACTGATTTTAATATATTGTCATTTTTCATCAAAACGTGCCCAAATCTTTCTTCCAGTGTGCTAAATTCTTCCAGATATATTCCCATAATTATAAAGAAGAGATATATTTATTTATTTAACATATTAGCATTTTTTTAACAAGTAAGTAGACGTTATAAATTATTGCATACAACGAATAATAATAAAAATATTGCAAAATGAAACTACCCCTCTTCATACAAATCCGCCTTTCTGTAAACTTGCACAATTTATTCCACTTATTACACGTTAATTAAGTAAGTAAACCTTTATTCTACTGTCAATAAATATTAAACTGGTTTCCAACCTTAATTTTACTTTTCCATAAAAGAATTAAAAAATTGCATGCATTTTTGCGAAAATCTCATGCTATTGGCTGCATGCGTTTGCGTGACGTCAGAGAAATAGAAGTTTCTCGAACCGAGGAGATGGAACAAAATGCCAGCCAAACTCAACTCAGCATTCGCCAGCCAGCAGCATCACTTCCCATGTGCATTGCCACTTCTTCCTTGCTCGCCAAAAGATTTTTGCAGAAAAATCCAGAAGATTGTTCTTCATTGTTCTTGTAGCCAGGGACACGAATTAGTAGCTAATACAGGACGACCCAGTGTACCGCTGGTGACGACGAGTTCTTCGAGAATCATCTGCTGAAGAAGGAAAGGAATCAGTAATTCTGCGCCGAGCTGTAAGTAAAGGTGGAGGATTAATTTTGGTGGCTATTTGATATTAAATTTAATTCAAAATACGGGAAATTAAATTGTTTCCGAGTTGTAAAGTGTGATCAATAGATAGACACGATTAACAGCATAGATTAGTAATTTTTTTGGACCGAGAAGGTAGAAGAAAGTATGAAATTGTAGGTAACAAATTTGAAATACGTTAAGAGTTAATTTTTTTGCTATCAATTTGGTCAATTTGAATTTGAGAATTGATTAACCTGAGAAAAACGATAGCAGATGAATACGTGGTTGATGGTGTGATGACTTGATGAATCATCTGCTGACGCAATAATTTTCATTTATTTTACCTTAACTCTTACAGTAATAATCTCTTTGGTGGTGACAAAAACGGTCAGGAAACTAGTACAAGTAACATGGTGAAGGAAACGCAGTACTACGACATTCTCGAAGTAAAACCGGGATGTACAACGGATGAGTTAAAGAAAGCCTATAGGAAACTTGCCCTCAAGTACCACCCAGACAAAAATCCCAATGAAGGGGAGCGAGTAAGTGGCAAAGATACTAGTAAAGTAAATCTAAATTTAAAAACATGATTATCAATTATTAATTACGGTATTTTGCAATTCTTTTACTTTAGTTCAAGTTGATCTCGCAAGGCAAGTGCAATAAGGATGGATTAAAACAATTGTTCAATTTTGAGGTGGCACTGGGGTGGAATTGATAGGAAAATTAGTTGCATATTCATGTTCCCTAAAACGTTAAAAATTCTTGATAAAATGTGTCTCTTGGTCAGTGACTTGATCTGCAGATTATAAATCGTCATCATATCAGTGACAACCCTTTGCCGACCTTAGACTTGAAGTTATTGTAAAAGATAACTTATAAGATTGCTAATAATCTCTCTCTCTCTTCTCTCTCTCTAAAAGCGTACGAAGTTTTGAGCGACCCCGATAAACGCCGCGTTTATGATGAAGGTGGCGAGGATGCTATCAAGGGTGGTGGTAACACCGGTCCTGGAGGATTCAGGTACTGAATTCATATTTTTGTTTTCAATTCGATGGAGAATTTACATTTTCAAATTGAAATATCACCAGCTCTCCTATGGACATATTCGACATGTTCTTTGGCGGCGGAGGTGGCTTTGGTGGGGGCAGAGGTCGTCGGCAAGAACGTAAAGCGAAAAACGTGGTTCATCAATTGTCTCTGCCCTTAGAAGACCTGTACAACGGCACGACTAGAAAACTCGCCGTCCACAAGAACGTTATATGTGAAAAATGTTCTGGTAAGAAAGGCTAATCCAAATATAATATAAAACTAGTAGATTGCAGATTACACATGATTACAATTTAATGAATGTTTCGTTTTGTTCGTGTTGTTCAGGTAGTGGCAGCAAGTCAGGAAAAGCTCCAGAGAAATGTCCAGGCTGTAAGGGCCAAGGGATGATCTTCCGTGTACAACAGCTTGGCCCAGGAATGATTCAACAAATCCAAACAGTGTGCCATGATTGTCAAGGTGCTGGAGAGCGTGTCAATCCTGCTGACCGTTGCAAAAACTGTCAAGGGAAGAAAATAATCAAAGATAAGAAAATCATCCAAATTCATGTCGACCGAGGCATGCAAGATGGAGAGAAAATAACTTTACACGGCGAAGGAGACCAAGAACCAGGAATTGCGCCTGGTGATATTATCATCGTTGTCGACGAAAAGCCTCACCCAGTGTTCAAGTAAGTTCAACCCAACATTTTTTGTTTCGCCAAAAATCAATTCTTATGAATGAATGTCTTATTTTTGTATTCTTATTCTAACAGACGTGCAAACCATGATTTGATCATGACCATTGATCTTGAGTTAGTTGAAGCTTTGTGCGGCTTCCAAAAGACAATTGAAACCCTTGACGGTCGACAATTGGTTATTACCATGATTCCAGGAGAAGTTATTAAACCTGGTGAAGTTAAATGTGTCATGAACGAAGGGATGCCAGTTTCTGGAGATTACACGCACAGAGGGAAACTCATTATCCAATTTAATGTCAACTTCCCCAAGGAAATTCCTCCAGAATTGGTAGCAACTCTAGAAAACTGTTTGCCTCCGAGGTATTTACATAATAAAAAGTGGTGTTATATAAGTATGCATTTTATTGTGCACCTTAACTGAAATATTAACAAACTTTCCTCATTTTATATAGAAATGAGTGCATCATTCCAGACGGCTCGGAGGAAGTCACCCTAATGGACTTTGACCCAAAGAATCATACTCGACGACGCCAATATGCGCACGAAGAGGATGACGAACCCCGTGGTCAAGGAGTTCAATGTCAGTCACATTAGAAAGTAATAATATCCACCTTGATTTCGCTCCTTTTGTCGTCTGGTCATCATTGAATATTAGTAGATCTTTACACTCAAAAATCTTATACTACTTCGTACTCACGTTTTCTCATTTACACTACACGACCCATCCTATACTCGTTCTCCTTCCGTCTCATTGTTAGATTCGCTTCCTCGTCCTAATCGGGATCATTTATTCGGTAATGTATGACAAGGTTCAAAGTTACTATTTGAAAATCCAAAAATAAACGATACATAAACTGCAGAATTGTGAGCAATTGAGTTAAATGTCAACTTTCTCATCTATGTATCTACATGACATGTTATTTATTATTATATTTCATCCTATATTTGAATATCACTTTTCAAGCAAAACATTTCAGTTAGTAATCATCCATAGATCAAAAAAAGTATCAATTTAACTATACCTCTACTAAAGACGAAGTATTAGTAAGCTTTGTTTTAGTCTTAGTTTAAAAAATTGTAAATGACGATAAAATATATATTATTGCCTCATTTTTTTGTGCGAGTGATGTGTGTCCGATTTTCAAAGAAATTATATATTACTTTTATTATTCGCTATGTATGTACTTATTCTTAGGGGTGCTTCTGTGATTTTGTTTTGTGTGGATTCTCCATAATAATTGTACTTGTAGGCATTGACATTAGTTATATGATTACTATGCACAAGTGCGATCATACATTTTACTTGTACCTTATGAATATATTTGTCGCTTGTAAAATATTGACCGTATTACAATTTTTTGTTACAATTACAGTTATTGAAATACTTATTGCAATACAAAGGCGTCTTAATAGAATTAGTCGACTATGATAAATAAGTAGAGTAAAATGTCAAAAATGATTTTGTGTTTGGAGAAATCACAACGCACAGCAGCAGCAGAATGATACACGTTCTCACTATTAAGTCTACCTATCTATGTACAATGATACAATAATAAGTGTAATTTTATGTACAACGCATTTATGCAGTAATAAAACGGGAGAAGTAATGTCCAATCTCAACTCGACTCACTGGGGAAACTTTATTTCAAAATATTCTGTACTTACAATTGAGGTCTCCGATTTTGACCAAACTAGTGTCAATGGCAAAAATTAATATGAAATTTTCAAAAGGCATGATCTGCCAGTGATATTTGGTTTGGCAGAGATATTTGCATGCACCCGACACCCGAAGAGAGGAAAACGGGGCCTAAAGTTGTCAAATGTTGCGCTTTCCAAATTTACTACACGTTTTCTCCTCTTTGAGCGCAAATGTCTCCGCTAAATTTTAGAATTCGCAGATAGTGCATTTTGCAAATTTCATATTCATTAAATTTGTGATCGATTTACGCTAAGTTGGTCAAAATTTGGAAACATACTCTGGGAGACCCCCAATGTTTGTAATTACAGTTATGTATGCAATTTAATGATATGCATCAACTTTCTTTTATTGCGTATTTGTCTCTCTATTTGTCCCAAGTTCCAATGACTTTGTAGAAAGCCTTCAAAAAGTGCAAACACCCGTGTCCAGTCCAGTCTGACTTGTGTTCCCGACAAACAAAAAATACGACGAAACCATAAAATGATTTACCCATGCATGCTTCCACAATTCATTCTGCCATTATGGCATTCACAACATATTTATCCACAAAATTTGAACGCACCTTGTTAATTTTAATACAAATTGAATCATTGACCATGTAAGTGCTCCATGCATGCATTCGTGTACATACATACATATGTATTCGTATCGTGTCATGTAAGCACTTTGGTGGAAGACATGTAGTCGTTGAGAAAGAAGAAATGTATTGAACAAATCCAATTATTTTCCTTAATGGTTGGGCTCGTCCGCGTCGGTGTCTCAAGTCCAGAATAAAAATAATATGCAGTCTTCTTTTACGTGATGGAATGGATTACAAAATCATACAGTATCGCATTACATGATTAAGAACGGAGTGAATTAGCCAACAAGGAGAAGTTTGTTACATATGTAGATATCTTACGTATTATACGCAGAGAGGAGAACAAGAAAGACTGGAATTCTGTTTGTGTGTGGGAATTGCATGCATGTCATGTTAACTTTTATAAATGATCAATTTTACCATCCAATCATCTAATAAGAAGATGATACCCATCCACTCCAAAGTCTCGTGAAACCGATTAAGTAGACATTGTATATTCTACTTTTGTAATGTCTCTGTAAAAATCTTGCTTGCTACTTTGTTGCCATTCCATTAAGCGAGAGAGATTCGCACGAGGTGGGAGGTGAGGTGAGGTGAGATTCACTCTCGGAGTATGCATATTCTATCCATCTTCTTGATATCATTATCTATATGCACAGATGAAGATAAGATTCACTGAAATCATATGCAAAAATTTTCATGGAAAAAGTTTGAAAATTTTGTGTGGGCATGACAAATATTTTAGGCTACCGAATGCATGAACTTTCCCCACTATGTACATACATACATGTACATAATATCTATGTATCAAAGTCATGTTATCACATTTGATCCTTCTTATTCGTTCGAGTGAGTAAGTCAGTTGTAAGTTCTTATGCGATTACTCGACTACATCATCACTTGATATGACTATATTACACCTTCTACATCCCAAGATTGTGTGTCTGTATTCGGTTCTTATTCTCTCTCAATTTTGTGTATCTGTCTCTGTATCCATCTGAAAAGCCAAGAACCGAACCGGTTTCACTTTTTACCAGCTTTTATCTCACCTCTCACTGTAATGTAACCAAGGAGCACGTCGAGCTCAAGACTTCCTCCAACTCGGCCAAGATGCATGTCCCCTTCCCCCAAAATGCTGGCATGCTGATGGAGAAATCCTCATATAGTGTCGCCTATTATTTGGACGTTATAGAGTGTGTTTTGTAAGCAAAAAGTATATGCGCACAGGCATCGTTTGGGGGAGAATTGGGCGAGAGGAGAAAGGTTTGAGGGGATCCAATCCAATGCAACTTTTACATGCCAAGCATAACATACCAACACTTAACCAAGTACAGCTTAAAAGATGTTGTTGTGGATGGAAGAAGAATCTTGGCATGATGATGTGCGCTATAATGTAATGCAATGCAATGTTATGTTATGTTGTGGCTATTTGCTTTTATTTGTATCACATCATATTATCCAATTCACTGGCGAGGAGGCAGTATGCGAGACGAGAGGAGTGAAGGTCGACTATAAAGAGAGAACAGAACAGAACCGAAATAACTAAAATGAGGTGGATTGAACTGTTGTAAAGAGTGTTTTATATATACGCGGAGAAGATATGTTTCATCAAGTGGTGGATGGTGATAGCAGAGGATTGCATACACATTTGTATATCATTCTTCCCAGCCAGTCAGTCTTGTTCCATTGCAGACCTCTTGTTGTTGGTGGATAAACAGCATCGTCGTCATATTGTTGTGGAGACCCTTTAAGACTGCTCTGCAAACAGTACTGGAAGGATCCCTTTTTCCACTCTCCCCGTTTGAAACCCATCTGCTCTTCCATGTAAAATGTGACCAGTGTTATGTTGTAGGCTGCCAGTTGGTAAAGGGCCGTCCGCGTGAGTGTACAGTACCACCAGCAGGAGTGCGTACAGAGCGAGTAAATGTGAGGGAGGGAGAGAGAGAGACTTATTGAGTACTTCAAAGTACACGTGCGTTTTCCATACATACGTTTTTCGTACGAGGGAAAAGGGATGGGACACTTTAAGACGTGGGTTGTAAGAAGAGGAGAAAGTTGGGGAATAAATGTTGGGCAGAAGAGAAAGCTAGATTTGTATTAAGTGGTTTAACACAAGGGAAATTTTGGTGAAAGGTTAAAATGAGAAAGTGTAATTATACGGGAAGAAAGGAGCTTTAAAAGAAGGAGAAAGTTATAGAGAAAGCAGGTAATATAAATATTTTGAGGGTTAAGATTTTTCGAAACGGCGTTAAAGTAATACTAATTTTATCTTTGGCACAATTCTCTTTTTGGTGTTTAGAGAGCGACACAAAACTTGGAAATGAAGACGACTTAATAGGAATTGGACATTACACGCATTTCGAATTTACCTACCATCTCAGCGAAACTGATCCCACTTTTTATCCGAAAGCTTTATAATTTTGAGATTAATGGCCCCAACTACTTCAATCTCGTCCGAATGTGATACCCAACAGGACCCACGAAATGAATCAAACGAGTCATCCGGGTATGTTGCAGCAGCCCCCAGGCGTGGCCGTGCAGCATACCGTCGTCAGCAACTACCTCCATCCACACCCACATCCAGGTGAGGACATGGAAATTTCCTCCTCCCATCAACACCACCAACAACAACTTCCCCCTCACCCGACATCCTGGGGGAAATGTGACCCTGATAATTCCTCGTCCTCGCCGTCTTCTAATTTTGGTGCTTCTACGACTCCTGGATATGGTGACTACCCGCAGCAGTGCTACTATCCCCCCAACAATTACCCCCACCATCACCAACAACATCACGACACGCCACGTCCCGATTCGACAGATTACCACCACACGCCTTCCGGATTTTACAACAACCATCAGCATCACAACCCGCATCACCAAGTGGACGAAGTGGGTGGGAGGGGAGATTGTCGAGGACAATATTATCCCAACCCTGCCGCCACTTCTGATCAATTTGTACCCTATGAACAGAGAAATAGTGGCAACAACACGACCCCCTCCTCCTCATGCGCTTTGGGAGGAGGTGGTGGTCACAATAATGCTGGAGCTGTTAATTTCTACGGCTATTATCAAAATAGTCACAATAACGGTCATTACGAAGGGTATTCTGGTGGGGAAGAGGGTGGAGAAAGTGGCTTCGTCCATAACAGAGGAATGGTTGGGACGCATCGTTACTTTGACCAAAATCATCACCACCAACAACACCACCCAGATGCCTACTTTCCCCCGTACGGACACAACCCGAGTAGTTCCAGATACCCGGTGTCTGCCTCTGTCCCCAATAATGCGAATTCAAATCCATCCCTCCCAAACAACCTGCCTCAGTACAACAATAGTCATCATCACCATCAGCATAATAATCATCACCATCCCGGCCATCACCACCACCCCCCGTTCAGAAGGAAGTCTATGGAGTCGTACGTTTCTGAAGGGTACACCAACACCAAGCTTGTCGTCGGTGCTGGTAGTAGTGCTCCTGGTTTTAATAACAATCAAGTCCAAACTTCCGGTTTTGTGGGAGGAGGAGGAAGCAGTTCACCTTCCCAACAGCAGCAACAAACTGCCTACTGTTCGCCAGCCCCATCCCCGTCTTCCTCCACCTCACCGGCCATGATGATCAAGAGGGAATGCTTATCCAACCCGCCTCCACCCACCCCACCGCCTCCAAGCACAAGCTGGGTGAGAAATTCGTCCAGCAACTCCAGTGCCAACTGTTCCAGTACGAGTGACCATTACAACCCGCATCACAACAACCTGTACCCCCACCAACAATCCGCCACCTATTCCGTCGACTTCCCCACCTTCAAGTCGTGTGCATTCGAACATAACAACGGTCCTGGAAGGGACGAGTGTGCTAATAGTGAAATGAAATTACAAAACAATTACGCCATGAAACCGGGTTCTGTGAAGCATCGGAGTTTGTCCATCCCTGCAGGGTTACCGTCTTCGTCAACCTCGTCCCTCCTATACGGCGGAGGACCAGGTCTTCATCATCACAATAATAGCAGTGACATTCAAATGGGTGGTGGTGAAAGCATGGAGAAGGTTGAAGACTCCTCGTTGTCATATCCGCTCTCATGTCATGGAGAAAGTGGGCTCCCTTCGTGCTCCTCGTATCATGAGGATCACGCCCAACAAAGTGATAATGAGCGCAACAATGCTTCCCCGTATCACACACAACAACAGCACCACTCCTCCTCGTCATCGTCTAATTCCTCCTCTTCGTCGTCCCAGTCTCCCTCGGGAGGAGGGAATGAAGACTTGTCGAATGGTGGACCCCCACCCCACCACATTATTCTCCAAGGTACTGACTCGACCACAGCAAACTGTGATGAAGATGAGGATGGAGAAGATGACGACGATGACGACAATGATGACACCAATCTTGACAACGAGGAAGGAGACGAAGACGACGAAGAGATGGAAACGTCCTCCCTCCTTCACGAATTCGACGTGGATGACATCCCCGAAAGCGATATGATTATTGCTGAAGACGATGAAGACGACGATGATCAAGATGTAGACAAAGCCTTTCCGGATGAAGATGACGATGAAGATTTGCCCGGACAAGGCGAAGACTCGGAAAGTAATCCAAATAACAATGTGATAAGTACTACCGGTAATGATAACAGTGGCGGCGGGGGCGAACTCGATGTGGACCCTCCACCACCCAGCAATTCAGCAGCTCCTGAAATTCACTCCAATTCGAATTCTAACACGTCCTTCACCTCTGCCCTCTTCTCCCTCAAGAGGTCGAACAGCATGTCGTACCCGTTCGGGGGAGGGAGTGGTGGGTCAAGTCGGAGCAGTTGTCAGCAAGATGACCAAAACCCGGCGAATACAACCACGACCTCGACGACGACTCATTGCGACTCTGGAATTTCAATGTCATTCTCATTCTCATTAAATAACAATAATAATACAAATTCGTCCTCTTCGAGTAGTCCGAGTCCGCACAAAATCTCGAAAAGGTCTTTAAGTGAGACGGACGTGGTGAACACGACGACAACGACGGCTCACTTCGCTCACTCGGTGGAAAGCAATTTGGCGACTGGAAGTGGGTGTGACGGTAGTGAAGCGTCCTGTAGTCCTCCAATAACAACGACGACCACGACGAGTGAAAGTACTGCAAGAACTACAAACAATTCGGTTACTTTTCATAGTTCTAGTGAACAAGAATCGAGTGCAGGTGAACCACCGCAGAGTGAGACAAGTACTAATATTCCCAAAAGTGGGGGTGGTGGCGGTGGTGGTGTGGTTGTGCCAAAAGGGTGGAAACGTGAGATTTATTTTGCCAAAGATGCTGTTACCGTGTTTTATATCAGGTAATGATTTTAAACTTCTTAATTAATTGGGTTTTTACCCGTTACATAAGCACATGCATACTTTCACTCGAAATAAATGAGTCATTATTCCGTATCATTCCCCGTAATTCGTCACCCTGCTAAATCAAACAAACAAACAATGCAAATAATGCATGCACATACTATCAGCACATCTTATCAATTTAACCGTTTCACAACTCGTTCACATTTCGCATTGCAATTTGCATGCATACAGAGTGTGCATTGTACTCATATTTAGATGGATATTAGAAGTCAATCCTAATTTCCACTCCCATTTCACGACACTCAATTCAAAGGGAGTACTAATAGATAGATAAATCGTATGCCTTGATATAATGGGTGGTTGTGGTGGTTTTATTTGTAAGTAAAATGTTAAGAAAAGATAAGCCATCACTTTGCAAAACTACCAACTACCGATTGGACTGGAATAGATGGATACATAGATCGTTATTTTATTGTGTCATGTGTGTGTCAATTATCTACCTGGTGGACGGACGGACGGCAGCAAGCAAGCAAGCCTGCCATGAATAATAGTTGATAGTCAAACTAACTAGTAAACCAAATAGATAAGAGAAACAAGGACATACAAACATACATATTCACGGTTGGCTGTTATGCATACGTATTAACGACGAGAGGGATTCGTGTCAGGATATTTCTCCCATTAAATATTTTGTCCCTAAACATAACATTTAGGGGAAAGTGGTGTTTCTCTCGCGAGCACACTTTCTCTCCTTCCTGTTTAGTTCTCGTATGTATCCTGCATAATATGGCGCAAACTGAACCTCGCTCATTTTCCATTTAGCTTCCTCATGCATAAATAATACGTTCCACACCTGGGACAATGAGACGTGGAAGACTTGACAAAAAGCAGGGTGCACCTTTTCCTCCTGCCAAGCCTTACCTGAGCCATTACTCATTTTCATTCGCACTGACGTAAACATGACACGAATTATTATTACGCGAATGAGTACCCACCACACGGCTGCTGGATAAGCTGGGGCTAAAGTACTCGACACACTTCTTCTTAATGGGGTGAGGGTGGATGTTTTAATATGGATTAATAAATTTATTTATTTCCCGTCGTCGTCGGTGCAAAAGGGTTGTGTAATGAGTGTCAACGCTGTTTGCTGGACTTGCTTGACATTACAAAATTGTTTTTAAATTGTTGGCAGGGCATGTTTTCTGTGCAAATTGGGTTTACTTTAACAGTTGGCACAGTTTGTAAATATAATTTTGATAGAATTATGCAGGGTTTTCCAAGCTAGGTATAAATAAGTCAGTCGACTTTCATTATCGGATATGACGCTGACAACGACAACAAAAAACAAGCACTATGCACTACGGCTTAACTAACTTCCCAATCTCCTTCGTATCATAATATTCATATTTCTGTCGAGTTTGGTGTGGTCATTAGCAGCCGAGTTGGGCATTGAAGGGGGAATGGATTCTGAAGAAAGAAAGAAATGCAATCCGATTCGACGGAAACGTTACTTTGACACGCCATTGTGTTCATACACTTGCTGATGTTTTACAGGGCTCACTTTGGGTTGCTAACACACACACCTTCGAGCATTAACAGGATTTTGGAAGGGAGTGCATTTTATTTTTTGAGGAAATTTATTATTACTCCCGTGCCGGGTGGGTCCGTGTCCGGTTTTGTGTATGTATGCTCGTACTACATACGACAGCGAGTGCCCTTTTGTAGATATGATTTGTTGATTTGCATAAAGGTAGTAAAAGTGTTGGGGGTTTCGTGCAATCGGACGTAATTTAAGGTTTCATTCAGCTACAATTTGGCCACATGGTTTATTGAATTTTTTTGGGGGATATTAATGGAGAAAGTGCTGTACGATTGTGATGATGGCCTTTGAACTAGATAAAAGTACAGCGTATAATGCATAATGTAATATGTGCTTCAATTTGTAATGAGACGATTTTTTGTGAAATAAATATTTCTCACGAAATTAAATGCGTATTTCCAGTAACAGGGCAATCCAATTAGTTAAACTGATTTAATGAAGTCTGTTCCTCTTGTATAACTTGTAATAGGATGCTTTTCTGCGAAATAAAATTGATATGTTTCCAGTAACAGGGCAATTAAACTTATTTAATGAAGTCTGATATAGAACTTTTAATTGGACATTTATACAAATTTGTTGCTATTTTCGGGTTACGCATACATATGTAAAGGTTGTATAGAATTTCATCTATAGCTCGAAATACATATATATTCCTCCAGGCGAAATTTATTTTGTGAAATAACCAGATAATTGCATACTATTGTCCATCATGATAAGAGAGAGTGAGGCATTATTGTGAGTGCACCTTTTATTTACTTTTTACCTTTCACCAAACTTTCACTTTGTTCCTTTTCTTTGCTTTGTTCTCTTTGCATTGTCTTCTTTGTAGCCATCCTTTCTTCACTAATTTGTTGTCATTCCCTTGGGTGGGTAGTTCCTCCTTTCCAGCTCCAGCCATTTTTGGCCCTCTCGTAAATATTGATTATCAATTTGTTATCAAAAAAGCTCCTCCTTTATCGTCTCGCTTGGCCGTAAACATTATTATCTTACAAACAATATTGAGTTCGTATATTTTTATTTATTAAAGGCAAGAATTGAAAATAATTTCATTTAATTACGGTGTTATTTTACGATTAGGACACTTGTCTAGACGATGTTGGTTATGTAATAATTGATAATTTATGTGTGCAACATAAAGTGAAAGCAGGCTATATTTTTTTGTATTTATACGATTACATCAGTCGGGTCTGTAATGTGACTTTTTGGTACATATAATATTTTCCCAGCTTCTCCTTGTATTATTTTTCCACAATAAAAATTTCTGCAGTTTTTTCCACATTTTTTTACCCATGTATTCATACTCACTCCCTCGCAGTCACACGGTTGAGTCCACTTGAAGTAGATTCAGGTTGTACATATGTACATACATATTTAGTTTATTTGGTGGAAGAAAGAAAGAAGGAACGGATAGAGATAATTACACCCTTGTTCGCCTTGTTTTGCGTTTGTTTGATGTTTTGATTTGGTGGAGCAGGGAGGAACATATCATAATGGAACCTTAATACGCACTCCCTCCTCGTCCTGGCAATATCTTACATTAATATCTTTCTTTCCTTCCTCCAGGTTTTGGTAACCTAACCGGAGTGAGTGATTTGAAAATTGATTATTTCCACCACACCACACAATACTAAATTCTTTCTGCTTCCCAAAGTGGACATGACTTGCATACTCATTTATGTTTCGCCTGCATTTTACCGACTTCTTATCCGGTTATTAAGTCAGTAAAGTAAGTGAGGGTGGATGGATGGATGGCTTTATGTTTGTGTGTTGTTTCGCCTTTTGGTCGGCCTGACGACTTGGTTCATTTTATTTTTGTAAATTTTATTTTGTTTTATGGCAAGTTTATACCAGTGTGAAGTTCTCTCATAATGTGTCATGAGTCGGTGGGTTTCAGAAACGGGAATTGTATTTTTTTAGAGCAGGTTGTATAATGTTGTTGTACCTGAAAAATTACGTATTTGGACTGTATGTATGTAGTTGGTGTTGTTGTTCTTAATTTTTATGAAGGAACGAGCTAATTAAAAATGACATATAACATGATGACTGTGTAGGTAATATACATAATTTCTAGTTTTATATCAATCTCATTTAATTCCACTCTGGTAATAGGCTAGTTTATATAGGCTGCATAATAACAATTAATTACGAGTAAAGTGACAGGGTAGCTTGCATGTGGTGGTGTTTGTATGTACGAATCTACAATAATAGTGACATGGGCAGGGTGAATATATAATAAATGATTAATTACACCTTTAATTGTGTATAATAAAGTTGGAAGGAATGGCTGGATTGAGTTGTTTGTAGATTAAGTGGCTTAGGTACGCACCACCTCATGCGCATATTTACGAGATATTTTTACATAATAAATCAACACTTTTATGCGTACATTTCAGTCAGATCTGACCATAATTGTGGCGTGGAAGATGACGACATCAGATTCTTTTTGGGTGTAGGTCGACTCATTATGTTTGCATTATGTGACAAAACTAAACCTTTCCTTGACAAAGTCGTCACATATTTTAATCGCACAGAAATGTGCAGCCCAGACTTGTTTATTGTTTGAAAGAATGGACAAAGAAGGCAACGCGTAAGTAGATATGAATCAAGAAGGAGACATTTTCATTAGAAAAAAGTTTGATAATCAGAGGACGGATATGTATTTATGAAAAATGGCTGAAATATTTATTTAACGAAGAAAACGCCAAAATGTGTACCAAAAGAACACATAAAATTATAAAATTTTTCGTCTCGTATCGTTGTAATATTAAAAAAAAATATACATATGTAGTATTGAAAAATATCAAACATATTGACGTATTTTCCAAATAATAGCGGAAATATTTATAAATATACTAATACTTTTGAAAACCTAGAAATATGTAACAATATGTCAAAATATTTTGAAATTTTAGTGATCCATTCGAGTTAGGGAACACACCCACAAAGTTTTACCGTCGGTCGTCATCAAATGAAAAAGTTGAAAGTATTCAAATACATATCCACCCTCTGCTGATAATAAAAAGCCACCCCTTTTTCTTTCCTCTTTCTTTAAGTGTTGATTAGTCGTGGTTCATTAGCTGCACACCGACTGCGACAAAATTATACTGCTCTCTTGTATTTTATTTAAGGGGAACTGATTTTATACGTCTTTTTAACTGGTAGTGAATCATAATAGTAATGATCGACGAATGAGCCTGAAGGAATTTGTGACTCTTTATGTAAAATAGTCCTCCTTCTCTCTTCCTGAAAAAGCGTTTTGTTTGAAACTCGGTAATAAAGTGACAGTGAGTCAGTCAGTCTCTGTTCTGTCATAAAACGGGGATGACGTAAACATGAAAGATCAAATGAAATGAACGTCAAGTAAAAGACATCAAAGGATGTTAAGCAACTAGGCGGAAGAAGAAGGGAAGATGAAATGAGGGGCATTGCACATCAGTTAATTTCACAGGAACGATGATGATGATGATGATGACGCTGGTAATAATGACGATAAAACAGCGAGACATCCTTCCTTCCTCTTTATTATGGAGATTCCATGCTAAATTTGGGATTAATTGAGCATTAAAAATTTAAACTGTTCAACTCCACCCTCAAAGTTACGAGTCAAAACTTTACAACCAAGTTACACATGATTGCATCTCTCTTTATCGAATCTTTGTTAGTATCGCGTTTGATCAAAGTTATTGCTTTTTCCGGACTACCTAATTTCGACTTGGCAATAATTTAGGAAATAATGTGTATAAAATGGAAAAGTAAGAGCCCGTTGTAAATAAATTGAATGATTGATACATGCTTACATCACACAGCAATAAAATAAAACCCTGGCCTCGGTGCGCATTCAATTCTGCGAGGCAAATTCCATTAACTCATCCATTGTGTAATCTTTCCGGGTTTAACTCTTGAACCGTAAATAAACAAAAAGTAATTTGAGCCAAGGCACGAGTTGGATTAAAAAGGAGGGGAGCGAGAAATCCGACGACGGTCTTAAATTGCGTCAAGTTTCTGCATTAGCATAACCCAGATTTAATTGGATTACGTAAAGAAAGGGATTCGAAGGGAAACGAATGGTGAGAAGTTCAACTCACTCTTTGCGCCTTCCAATTAAATGCCATGCAAATTTTAGACCTATTTTAGCACGGTATTAAATTTCTTGAAAATTATTACGTACTTTGAATCAACTTTATTCATCCCAGAAGAAAAGTGGTGGATGGAGAATATATAATTTAGGAATAAAGTTTATTAGAGTTTGTTGGATGGAGTTTGGCTTTGCTGGTACATTCATAATTGTGCAGGCATTGACTATTCGTTAAGGTCAAATATGTAAAATAAGTACATTCTTTTGTTCTTCTGAGAGGACTTGTTACGACGAGGACGACCAGTGGCCGCGGAAGCGTAGTGGGGACAGAGGGACAATGTCCCCACGGTTGTTCGATGTCCCCATGATCTGCACATGTTATATAAACCCCTCGCTCCCCTATCATAAAATGTTAATGTCCCCACGGCTTCCGCGGCCACTGACGAGGAAAGCAAAACTGGAGACTGCCTCGAGCAAAGATTACGCTTTAAAATTCAAGTGTATGCGCAACTTTGAATGGATGGCTTTGAGAGTGAGAGTTAAATTATCAAGTGTTCGATTTTGTCTTCTTTATTTTATGGCCTATTGTGCATTGCATAGCTTTGTGCACCTTGTAGATATTCACTCCTAATTCCTGTTATGTAAGGTTGTAACCTCATCTCTCGTCTAAAGTGGACTTTTTGACTTCGCCTACTTCAATCCACGTATAAAATAATGATGACGAGGAAATCGTGCTGGTGCTGTTCTGGGTAGCGTAATAACATTAATTTAATGCTCATTGTACACTTAATGTCCAGCAGGAGACCATTTTTGAGCTTGGGAATCATACATAAGCTTTAGTGATGTTGATGGAACAGTTTATCATAATGTTTTTTTTCTTATGAATACATTTATTTTGCGAATTTAACATTTGAAATGGAGCTTTCTTTGAAAAATTTAGCATGATTTAAATTTCGAATAAATATTATGACTGGTTAATAGCGTGTGTACGTAGTTGACGACGATGTTGGTTGTGTGAGATGGTGATCAAACTCGTTTCTTTCTCTCTCCAGCCAAACTTTATGTGGGAGACGGTGCCAAAGTATTAAATATTTTTTGCTGGCTAAATCGACTCGTCTTTTTAAACCGGGCTTATGTTCCGTCTTGACTCAAAGGTGAAAAAGGTTTCGTAGTTGTGGTGGTACTTGAATCTGTCATGTAGGAGGATTTTTTCACAAGAGACACGACGCAATTTAACCATCACACACATCACTTCGTACTCATCCACACCATCAAAAAAGCTAAACAACACTTTCTGGGAATGAAATTGAGAAACAGAACATGTGCACTTTTTTATTTAGATAATCTACTTATGAACTACTTGGTGGTGAATTTCTGCTTATTTTGATGCTTTGGTCAAGTGAAGTATTTACGAGTTAAAAATATTGAGTGCTATTCAGTTTATGAGATAATCTCGATCGGAAAACAGATCATGGAGATGATAAAGTTTGAATCAAGTCAAGCCTAATTTAGTCCATCTGTAATGCTTTGTTTGGCATTACGTACGTGCATAATCTGTCCACCCAAAAATGCACCATCGTACATCCATGCACTTTTAAATCTCCAAATTTAATTAGATTTTCTTGTTTGCATTTCAACCGCAATTTATCATCCGCTTCAAATAATAAGCCTTCTCCAAAATCGACAATGAGAAAAGAGAGAAATGTATGTACAATCAGTCAATGTTTGTATTGCATTTTGTTCGGAATGAATGCAACTGGTAGCTTTGATGAGATGTGATACACACTGCACAACAATACGTACAAACAGAAATACGGACGGGATAAGATCATCTTCTTCTTCTTGGTAGACCATCCCATCACCCAAGAAGATTCCAGATTAGAGATAAATGCGAGTAAAAAACATAATACGGTGGGTGGTCACTTCATCTTCAAAGAGCCCGTGGTTTGATCCTTCCTCCAAAAGTCTTACTTATTTTTAGTCGACGGGAATAAAACCATATTTCTTCTAAGTAATCTTCCCCACACAACTTTGGGATTTAAGAGAGAGATGACACTTTTTTAAACCTGGAATAAATCAGGTCGCAATTATTCATTCACGAAATTTATGCATGATGGGATTTATGCACCTTTTCATAGAACCCAAGCGTTCCTAATGATGCTTGTAATTCAATATTAAAGTGTCTCTTGCCTCCATGATCCAGCGTCATTGTCTTTATCGTCCGAATTGGTAGACGCCACGGACGGACGACTTGGTTACAAAAACCTTGAAACAAAGTCGTGAATGAATTTGTGGTTGGATTGGATTTACGTGGAAGGAATGTGGCTGCGGCTTTCATCTCATCGCATCATCGTCATCTCCTTAAGTTATTGTATCGGGCGAGCATATTTCATCTCGAGGAAATATTCGGGCTTATTATGTTATAAAACAAACGAAAAGGTTTCGTCCGTAATGATATCTGGTATACAATTCGAGATGGAGTGAAAATATGCATCATTTACATTCTGATTTAAAAATGTCTCGTGTATGTATTTATTTTTTACCACTCGAAAGAAATGTGTCCACAAAGTAAACTAACTAAATTCATTAATGACTCACGAACGAACCCCTGCAATTTAGGGAGATTAATGGGTTTGGACATTCGAGCATAATATAATTTGTCATTTTATTATTATTTCGAGCCCTGGTTCCTAAAACTACCTGAAGCAAGTTTTTTAAGTGACTAGCATAATCATGCTGGTTGGTTGGTACCTGTTGCTGAAATTGTTTGTGGTGGTGGTGGTGTGACTGTCACGGAATTTCGCAAATGAGCCAAAAAACCCTGTAGTCTAAAATGTCGTGTTTTATTTTTTGCAGTCCGAGTGAAACAAAGTTGAAGAGTTTGGACGAGTTGAAGAACTACATCTGCTCCGATGGGACATGCAAATGCGGACTCAGCTGCCCATTAAGACTCGATCATGCGTTCAGTTTTGATCCAAAGGTAACAATAATGATAAATTTAATGGAGACAGACATGCTACAAAATGGACAAGATAAATGCTTAAAAATTCGCAAATACTTAAACTAGTACAATAAAAATGCCAATAATACTTACATATGTACACCTGTTCTAAACCTAAGTACACATCAACATGGATAAGTAGACGTGTATCGTTGGTGGCTGTCAATATTCATCATTAAGTTTATTTAAATAGTCGCGAATCACTTTTGTCCAGTTTAATTAATCAAAGAAAACTTGTTGAAATGGAATATTGTTGTGGTAAGAGACGCCATAAAATAAGGAAACCGGCCGAGCCACTCGTAATAAAAAAGATTGATGGCTTTTGATCCAGCCGGTGCGTCCAGTCCACTTTCAGGCCAACAAATCTCAACAAATGAGATTCATGATGCGAAAAAATCCGTGTGGTTAATTTATTACAAAATTTGTCATAATTTAAGCTGAAAAACCAACTTATTTTATCAAACAAGTTGATTTTTGTGCAATATGGCAAATTGCAGACTCATGAAAATGATTATGAGTTTTATTTGTCGTATCGCGTATACCAGAGTTGAGTCGGTTTTCCAAATTTATGATAAAGTATCCGAATTTAGGATAAAGTATCCGAACTGAATGAAACATTCGGTTCGGGTTTGCATACTTTGTCAATCGAAAAACTCGGATTCGGTTTGGATGAATATTTTTTAACCAAAGTTTCGGAATTTTCGAATTCCATTCGAATGAATATTTGTCAGCCGAAAAATTCGGATTCGGTTCGGATGGATCAGAAAACGTGGTGAACCGACTCAACTCTGGCATTCAGACATGCCCAGCATAGGAGCAGAACTGCATAAAATTTATAAGTCTCAAGTCTGGTTTGTTAAACAAATAGGAAAAAATCCTGAAAGAAATGCAGGATAATAATTCATTGAAATTTCACATCATTTTAACTTTATCTCACTCACTTACCTATGTACATATTTTACGAGTGAGTGAGTATTATATAACTAGAGAGAAAAAAAACGTGGAAAAATCAACAAGTGACTTATGTTGTCGGACTGGAGAGTTGTTTAAACTTTTTGCTCATTCTCCATGCAATCAATGCACTTCGTATTGTTGAGAGTTTAAATTACTTTTGGTATGTTTTCTCATGCAAATTACAATGGAGATGAGATATGTGTGGAAAATTGAGAATGATTTATGAGATGTAGTACCACTAACAGGTTTGCTTTTGATTTAAATTTTTACATGCACATAGATTTAAAAAGTAGGGACGCGATTTATTTGTTTTATTTTAAAAATTTATCATTTTGTAACCACATTTTGAAAATTTGTAATGTGTATTAAGTGTAATTATAAAGTACTTTAGGCGTACGATAATTAACGAATTGGTCCAAATTGTAAAAAGTTTGATGAAGAATTGCGAAAATAATTTTCATAATATTTTTTGTTCTTACTTCTCCACAGGTGATAAGCGTATCTTGTGAGAAACGTCAAAAACGTACCAATTCTGAAGATGACTTAATGTACCTCACCGGCTTTAAGGAGCACACGGATGAAGAAGAAGTAGTCGAAGATGAACCCAAAACCACGTTGTGCAATCATTACAAAAGAAAAATCCCAAAATCTGAGGATTCACCTTTGATCTCTTCTACGAGAGAGGATTTAGGTAAGAAATTTTGCCTTTTTTTCTACCAAATCTGAACCTAAATTTTAAGGGATATTTAGAGAAGTGCGGTAAAAAAATAAGCGTATGCAAACATTTACTTTGCCTCTTCTGTTGAAGGGATCATTTTATGTAACATCTAATTTTTAGCACTTTAGCAGTTTTACGTACAAATAATTTTTCTCATTTTCTGCCCTCGATGATTTAAAAGATAAGAAAAATCGCATTTTTGAAGAAGTGGGGCAAAAAAATAAGCGTAGATAATATTAAATTTAATGTAATAATTTTTACCACTTTAGCCGTTTTACATATGCATGTATAAATATTTTGTTATCTTTCTCTGCTCTCAATGATTTCAAAGATAGTAAAAATCGCATTAGCAGGATAAACATAAATGATGAGCATATGGCAAGCGATTAATTTAATTTGTATCCTAAACACAACTCGTTCCACTTAAACATCCAGTTGCTCATCCTCTCCTCGTCTTCTTCCTTTCGCTTCATTTCCTCTTTGTTTTTACTATTTTTATTTACCTTTCCCGTTTTTTTGCTGGAACTAGAAACTAAATGGTATCATCATTTCGACGCAATTTCAATTTCCAACGTTTTTAAACGACATAATAATATTAACCCCATTTAAAATTTTCGGTGATCCCACCCAAAACTAAATTAGTAAGGTCAGGGCATATTTTACGAGCTAATTGGTGGCAGACGTCTCATTGTAAATGGTGGAGCATACATGCGTCATACATCAATTAGTATTTGCTTACATGGCTCAAGTCAAGTTTTAAAAACGTCGTAAAGTGAAGAATTAATGGAGAAGGAAGAAGAAGACGAGTCAGTCAAGTGGTATTCGTTGGGAGAAGGATATGCACATCATTTTGAAGAAAACGAGAACAGGACAAACTGTCATTACGTAATTTGTGCGAGAGATGAACCAAGAGATGCGATTTGCTTGGAAATGGATTCTTTTTCCTATTTCCTGCCCAAGTCAGAAACAGATCATAACATTTGTTTTTGTTTAAAAGTGACTCGACCCCTTTTTCTTCTCCTTCCTTATTAGTATTCAGTTACGTACTTGAGTTGAGACGAGGCAAAATGTGTTTTAGTTTCGTTTGATGTTACACAAGTCAATGGCCCATTTTTGCATTTAAACTACGCTTTTAAACCAACGAGCAGAGGGCATGTGCGACGTATGTAAGTAGCAAATTAAGGCGAGAACAAATTAGATTTTTGATGGGCATAATGGGGAGAGGATATTTTTGAAAATAATTTTGTTAATTTTGAAATTTTTTTTGTAAGAAAGTTAAACTAGGAAAATCTCTAGCTAAATCAATATTTAGCTTTGAGATTGATTATCAAGCCAAATAGATGGAAGGTGCAGGTTAGTTACACATATGTAGATAAGTACTTATGTACATACCCATGCACAATGGCTGATCAAATGATGACATTAACATGCAATTAACTGTTCATAATTTACGTGGACATATACACACAAGTCCAACCGCAACTTGTGTACATCATCCATCCTTTCATACCATTTCAACAAATCGGTTTTCACATGTTAAATTAAACCAAGTAATAATGTAACAAACACTTGAAAGAGAAGATTAATTTCTTCATCACCACTTTGAAATTTTGCATTTATTCACACTTCCAACTTTGTGAGCCTCATGAATTGAAAGAGTGTGCGATAAGTGCTGAATAATGCTGTTAAATAAATCAAGTTCAAACTCAAGCAAGTGAGCGAGTGAGCAAAAGCAATATTATTATTATGCAGTGATGTTATAATATAATGTGATGACTGTATGCACATACTTTTTTTCCCTGCCTTCAAATTGCCCAGAGAGGCCATCGATCTCTTCGTGTTGTTCAGAATAGAAGATCCCGTCGTCGTCGTGATGATGTAAATTTAAATATTTATAAGATTCATGAGCATTCATTCAACTCCATATTTACCACGACGGAGGATGGGATAGGAGGACAAAAAAAGCATAAAAAAGATGGTCAATCTCAATCACATAATTCTTAAAGCGTATAAATGTATCATTCCACTGTGTAAATAAGCACTGTCAAATGATGCAGAATTGGATGTGTCAAGATTATTTAAAGAGTCAGTCCCCTGCCATTTTTTGTAAGCACTTACTCCTCTCTCTAAACCCAATTTTAGCAAGGATTTCAAATTGAAAAGTGTGAAATATTGGTTAAAGACGGTCATAAAATAAAATATTATTATCATCATTCATCCCACCCACCAACCAACAAGCAACCAACCTACTCGGCTCCTCTCAACCCTTTTCTCTAGTGCGAGATTGAGATTTAAATTTAAATTCGAATCCACTCCGCGATGGTTGCGAGAGAGAGAGATGCGGGTTTCTTCAGGGTTTGAGAATGACAGGGAGGCATTTAGCATATTCATTCATCTCATCCTCCTCAGGAGTGTGTAGTGGATGCATTCCTTTATGCAGCTCTTCTTCCCTTCGTCGTCATAAAATAAAATAAACCGTTACAACGCATGTAACCAAGGGGTGAAAGGAGTGTGTCATACGTCAAAGTGAATATCAAATTGTTCGAAAATTTGTTAAGATTGACACTTCTGACGTGTTTTCGACGTTTGTGTCTTATTTGTGTCAAATTTAACAGTTGATAACCCTTATGTGACATATATATGACCTCTGAGGTCAAAATGGAGGTCACCATTGAATTCGACTTTGAAAACTAGTAAAAATGACGTGTCACATGTCAAAACTGACACGTGACACTTTTTCGTCACTTTTCGTCACTTTTCGTCACTGTGACGACGTCATCGTCACAGGTGACGTCCAAACGCAAAATGACATGAATTTTCGAATTCGTAATTGAAAAATAGTTATAAATGATGTGTCACATGTCAAAACTGACACGTGACACTTTTTCGTCACTTTTCGTCATTGTGACGACGTCATCGTCACGGGTGACGATGTCACAGTGTCCATCTTCGAACTCATCCTGTCCCTTGACGTTAGGAGTTTACGTTCAAAATTTCAAGTCTCTATGTCTTTCCGTTCAAAAGTTATCGGAGCTACGGACGGACAGACAGACAGACAGACAGACGGACGGACATAACGATCTTATAAAGGGCTTTCACCCCTTAATAAACTGCAAGCAAAGCAAGCATCCCCGACTTTGCTGGAAGGAAGGGTTGAAGTGATGGTGATGATGACGACAATCGGGGTGCCATAAGCACTTAGGTTTTGGGTCGGTCGGGTTTGTGAATATGATTATGAAACGAAATTGTTTTTGAGCTTTCCTGGTTTCGTGGGATGTGCAGGAAGTGGCCGGGACGGAAGACGGGGGGACATCTGAATTGTAGGATAAGGGGAGGGAAGAGTTTATATATCATGGGGACATAAAACAATCCTAGGGACATTGTCCCCACGCTTCCGCAGCCACTGTGCTTAGTTGTGCACAAGTCTTTATTAGAGTACACAAAAGCTGTAACAATGATAATAATAACGCCAACAACTTGAACTCTGGACGTAATATGGGAGAAAAGCAGGAACGGGTTTAGGTTATGTTATGTTCCGGTGTGACAGGGAAGTTTGATGGTTAATGTATTCAATTCTTTATTATCACACAATATCAGACAGACCTGCATTCGGGGTGAATCGCATTGGATGTGATGATGAGCACGGGACAAAGTTGAGGAAGGAAGAGGAGGAAATTTTCATGGAAGTGAATACGTACACACGAAGCATTTTGGATAGAATTTAGTCGACGGAGGAGGACGAGTCTTGTGTGTCATGTTATGGTGTGGTTGGTGACACTAATTGAACTTGACTCGCTTCCCCCGATATCCAATTTGGTTGGGAATTGTCAACATTTCCATCCTAATGGAAACACTCAACTTGTCACGGGTTGCTTGGTGGTGGTGCTGGAATGACGCGTTTCCTCCATCCCTCGCAAAGAACACGATTTAAAATTCTCCCAAAAATGGGGCTAAAACACGAGAATGACGACTTCCAGCAGGGATTTTTGGGATTTTAAACCATGAAATTAAATTGAATGCATGCAAATGATGTGATGTGACTCATTCAAGTGGATCGTTAGTTGGTTGGTGGATGTACACAATAAAATTTAATGCGCTTTTCACGGAAAAATACATACATAGAGATAAACATTGAGATGAACATTGCAATTCACGCACCCTTGGTAACTACGTAAACAGCGTAAAATCCGTAAACTTACGAACGTTTACAAACAGCTTCCCGTGAATTCACTTTTGTAATTATTTTCGTAAAAATTTATCTGATAATCGAAACAAAATGCCGATTATTTCCAGAAAACGGAAATTAATGGAAGAAATTTGTGAAGCTGCATTTATTGATATAATAAATAGTCCTACACAGGCAGATATCATTTTCGATAACGCGATAGATGATGTTCTGACCATTTCAACGTACCGTCTTTCTGTTCCACGATTATTTGTCCCGAAGTCAGATGATTGGTTCCGAAGAATCTTGCCAAACTACTCCGACCACTATTTCAAAAAATTTATGCGAGTCTCTCGAAAGGATTTCACTCTCATTCTGCGGATGATAGAAAACAGCAACGTCTTTAAGTCCAACAGTCGTCAACAACTAAAAGTCGACCAGCAACTCGCCATAACTTTTCATAAGTTAGGGCATGACGGAACCGGAAGCGGGGTATCTACTACGGCAGCGTTGTTTGGAGTTGGTGGGGGTGGTACCATATTGAAAGTGGTCACTCGAGTTCTAAAGGTACACAATAGACTTCACAAGTATGAAGTTGATAGGAGTGTCTAAAAAAATATGTATTTCTCAGGCAATTTTAGAATTAGAAAAAGATTGGATAAGATGGCCAGACGAAACCGAACGATTGGAAATTGCAAGGAATATGGTTGACCAACTTCCAAATTGTATTGGATATATTGACGGATCTCACATCAACCTTGAAGAAGCACCACTGGATGACCCCGAGTCATATTTTACGCGAAAGCAGCGGTACGCCATCCAACTGCAAGCCGTTTGTGACAACAATAAGATGATCAGGAGCATTTTTGTCGGATATCCGGGCTCGGTTCATGATGCTAGAGTTTTTGATAACTCAGAAATCGGGAAAAATCCAGAAAAATTTTTGGACAGAGGTCAGTGGATTGCCGGGGATTCAGCCTACAAAAATACGGACTACATGATAACACCGTTCAAAAATAATGCGTCAACTGGAACCACTGCGGAGAGACGGCGATTTAACAAGTATTTTTCGGGATTTCGTGTCAAGATAGAATGCTGCTTTGGAATTATTAAAGAAACTTTTGGGAGTTTAAAGGAATTGCGAATTCGTGTGGATAGGTCAAATGGACACACGCTGGCTTGTTCGTGGATCAGGGGGTGTATTATTTTGTACAACATTCTGAAGGACTCGTTTACTGAATCGGAGGAAATTAATATAGAAGTTGATGATGATGCCCAAGAAGGAAATCATGACCAAGGGGATGATTACAAACGCAACGCTTTATTTCAATTTGTTAATGGAAAACTCAACATGATGTGATTACCTCAGCATTTTAATAATTCAAAGCATTTTAATCATTAATAAACCTTAGATTTGTTCTGCTTTAATCTGTGCCAACTCCAATTTCAAACTGCATTCTTTATCGATTCGGTATCGCGATATTTCCATCTCATTTTGTAATTTCAATTCTTCCAAAGCTAATTTTCTCTCTTGCAATTTTTGTTCATCTTCATACTGCCTCAATTTCAGTTCATATTCCAAATTTTTTAGTCTTTTTTCTTCTTCCCATTTATCCCTGGCTAAAATTATCTCTTGCTTTTGAAGTTCAGTTCGAATTATGGACGCTTCAGCTAAAGCAGATATTCCGGAATCAGCGTGCTTTCGTTTTCCGAGGTCTTTTCTTGCTGAAGTAAGATTATTTGCGATCAATTTCCCTGGAGTTGATGGCTTCTGGGAGACAGTTTCAACATCCACATTAATTTCGGTTTCCGGTATTTCTTCATCTTCAGCATTCAGTTCATCATCTCGTCCAAAATCACTCCACGATTGTGCTTGAAGAGTTCCCGAGGAGGAATCGTGAAGATGTGGTGGGTCGAATGTAGCTTTTTCACCATAAATTTCATCGAGTTCGTCGAATAGTGGACACATATTGAGCAACGTCCCTGGGGAAAGCAAGAATGTCAAAGTATACATACATATGTATAGGAGCAAAAAATAGTTTAGTACTTTTAACAGATTGTTCCCCTTCTAATTCCAGCACGCCTTGACCAGTCCTATTTCGCCATTCCATTTGTAATGCAAGTATTTCTTGCTTTTATCCCATTAAAATTGCTAAACGTGTCTAGATTCTAGAAGTTACAAACTGACGATGAGATTATTGTTGTGTAAAAATCAAACATTTTTTTCCGATGATGTTTTTTTTTGTACGGGAAATATTTACAGCCTGAGGAAACAGGTCAAATCAAAATGTTTGATGTTTGATCCTTCCTTCGTGATGAACCAGTAATAACGATCCTCTCTCTGCCCAATTTATTTATGCATCCAGCAAAACCATTAACTAAACATTTACATACAAAAGCCATATGCATTTCATTCCATATTTTCAAACTGCTATATATTTCTCGCCATAAAAATATTTGGACTTTATTTCCACCCCTGTTTGAAACTTTGGGAGACAGTTTGTAAAATATTGTGGAATTCGTGTTCCAAACTCTGTGGCTGGCACTTACGCAAGAAGAAGAAGAAGAAAGAATGATGACACCAGGATTTATATAGAGTTGCAACTGCTCTTGCAACATTAAAATTGTAAAGTTGAAACCGTAAATGCATATTTAAATATATAAGCTGCTCGTGAAGAGGGGAAAGGTTAGCCAAGTGCAACTTTTAAGGTAAAAATAGCCACAACACCCAACATTCCCCGATTTGGAGGGTGGGTAACTTATCTTTTTCCTAATAAGGTGCACATGCACCACACATCAGACGCATTATACAACATGCATTCATGTTATTTTCTCCAAAATCTTCTCTGGAGAAGAGAGAGAAGATTTTTTTATGTTGTTGGTGCATCGTGTTAAAAGGATGATGTGATATGCATCGCGTGTTCTTATTCTCGTCATCATCGCCGAGAGAGAGTCCTCATCGACATGTCCTTATTTCAAAGGATTTACTTAGTTAGTTAGTAGACACACACACATTCTAAATTTAACGGGTGCAGCAGAAACAAAGTGAAACTTGGGAGCGATGCTTATCTCTTCTCTGCCCCCAAGTTCTGTTCTGGGGAAAATGCGTTGAATGTGTGAATTTCATGGAGCGGAACTCCCTCCTTTCTTCACAGGAGTAGATGCGAGAATATAAATATTTTTGGTGTGCTTAAAACCCAGTCGAGTCAGCACGACGACGACGAGTATCTGATTGTAGGATGGATGATGTTGAGTTGTTGAACCATTTCTCTAAAGTGTCGTCGTAAGTAAAGTTAGTTTGAGACAAGTTTTCGGTGTCAGATCTCGTTAGAGTTAGCGAGGAGGACATGGTGATGTTAATCCTTATCGGGTTTTCACTTGTCATTTATTAATTGATGCGAATTACTAACCACGTCTAATCAGTTGTTTTGGTAGCGTTGTTCCGTTCCTTTTTACCCTGCACTCTTAAAAAACTGGTATTAAATCAGGGCTGACCGGCACGGTAATAACGGACATTTACCGTTTGGTAACGTAAAAATTTACCACTCAGAACAAGCTACTACCAATTCGGTAGAAAGTTACTACCAAATCAATACAAGTACGGAGTATGTATGCGACTCTACCAGATTTTTACCAGAGTCCCGTTCTGCATGCGCGCACCTTGTCTGCCTAAAATTTCCAGAGTCCACAACAATAATTTATTTACAATTTATAACAATGATTTATTTCTGCGGCACGAAACATGACGAGGTCTCTCTCTCCTCTTTTTTAAGTGGCACAAAAGGTGTGTTGAATCATTCCCATCGCGTATAATCTCATGATTCGATATTATTACCGAGCTGCTGTTATTATCTGCTTCATTTCATTTCACTCGGTTGTGTGGATGGATACAAATTTCTAAAGCACTTTTCATGGAGGATGAGTCTGAATCATGTCGCTCGTCGTGGTGACTTTTTACTTTAATTGTATGTCTGTCGTATTGTGGTAGTTTTATGTTATTTTATTTTATTGGACATGCACAATACAGCATTTTCAAGTTTAATCTTCCAGTCGTGCATTAAATGACCAACTTCTTTTACGGGGGGAGACATGTGAAGTGAAAAGCATTTCTAGAGCCATGAATGGGAAATGTACAACTTATTTGGTTGGGCCCACTTTTTATTGCTTTATTGCTTCTGATAATCCTTTCTATAAAATGTCTTGGTCGTCGTAAGTACACACAATTTAAAGCCAACAACCATCTCGAGTACTTTTTATGCCTCGTCTCATTCCATATGTATGTACATACGCTAAAGACGTTATTAGACACAAATGCGGTTATAAATATATTCCCCTGATGATGATTCAGTTACATTTTATTGATAACAACAACCCGCATGATCTAAAATCACGTTCTCCGTCCTCCAGAAAAAGAAAAAAAACTACTCCGTTTTTAAGCCGGTGTACATTTCCAGGCACAAAGGAACCCAGTGTGTGTACCTTAATTTGAATTAGCGTTTCACTTATTGGCGTTTATCCTCTCGGGAGCAGGAGCAGTATGCAGATACGAATGTATTGATCACCCATTAGTCAGACAGATGTGGCTGGATGAGGAATAAAAGTCATATTTTATTCCATGCTCCGCAGCAGAGAGAGATTTTATTTCCAATTTTGTTGTGTTCGTCGGCGTCTTGGAAGGCAAGTTTTGTCGAGTTCCATGAAAATGAGACGACGAGTCTTTTATGGAAATAGTTTAGGTTGCGTGATGAAAAAACAGTGTGGTTAAATTACTTGACGCAGGCATGCCCTTATTTGTAAAGGAGAAGACCGACCTCAAGACCCATTTTTGAACCTGCCTGGAATAATATGCTGCCATGTATGTGTAGTACTTACCTTGAAGAAATATTCCCAACAGGAATTATATGCATGTACCTTTTTAATAAAAAAGTATCTCTAAACTACCACTAACAGTGGAGGTCTCCCAACGTATGCTCTCAGATTTTGATTTTAAACCAGTGTCGATTGATGGGAAATTTAATTCATATGAAATTTGAAAAAGACCCGATCTGCCAATGCTCATGTTTGGCAGAGATATGTATTTGCATCCGAAGGAGAGAAAATTCGCACTAAAGTTGACAAATTTTGCACTTACCAAATTTACTGCATATTTTCTCCTCTTTCTATACAAATACATATGTCTTCCAAACCTGAGCATTTGGGGATCATATCTTTTGCAAATTTCATACGAATTAAGTTTATGATCGACTGACACTGATTTAGTCACAATCTGTGAGCATTCCTTGGGAGACCCCCATTCTAAGCATGTCAGGTTGAGTTATCGTGAAATCCTGCAAAAACCAACGAATTTCAATCCTATCATCAAAATTGATTTGTTTACTCATTACATTTCAAAGGTATCGTTGTACACATCCCCACATTCAACCATTCTAAAGTCATTTACAAAGTTTTCCAATTTTTTGTTACACCCATTTCATTCTCTCCAATTCTCTTAACAATGGTGTCATTCCTCCCGAAAATAAAGGGACACCAACCAACCATTCCTCTCCCTTTCAACAAACTTTCCTTCCTTCCTTCCTTCCTTCCTCACCAAGCCAGCAAGCAACAAAGCGAGTAAAAAGAGTGAATTTGTCTTGTACATAAACTCACCAGCGAAATACAAACAACTCAACTCAATTTCAATGAGATCTTTTTACTCTGGAAAAATAAATGACACCAGCGACGCAAAGTGAGTGCAAGGGAGCCAGAGTAAATAAATTTTCTCACACTCGAACCAATTCAGGCCAATTTGATCATGCAGGGATGGGAATAAGAAGAAGATAAAGGAGACGAACGAAGGGTCGACATCTCTCTCTCAACTTCTAAATAGTATTTGTTATTCAGCCTGAGAGAATACTACTTACTGCACTTTCGAATGTATCCTTTTCTCTATTTTTACCCCGTCCCCACAGAATAATTGAAGACAAATAAAAAATTATGAGGATGAGGGAAGGCTGCTGGTGAGAGAGAGAGAAGGGCAGTCGTGGCAATGGGTCTTCTTAATCCAGATAAAATGGAATAAAAGTGATATCTACAACACCACCAGTTGCTTATTGCTTGTTCGTAATAACATGTATCCCATCACATTACGTTGCACCATTACGTAACACCAGGTATAGGTTTTGGTTATCATCATGCTTCGTGTCACTCCGTGGGTTGATGATAATCCGTCCAGTGGTGGTGGGTACATAGATAGGTTGGTGGCAGGGATGTTGAACATCCGGTTGGTTTCATTAGTTGGTAGTAATAATGTCACTATGGAAGAAGGGCCCTTATTTACGCCGTGTGGGTAAGTAAGCAAGCTCTCGGGTGAGTAATAAACATGCTCACTTTTTTACCAAAGAAGTAGAATAAAGCAATGGGCTACATTACATTGTTCCACTCCTCTCCTGATGCCGTGTGTGATGTAAAGTGATGATCTAGCCATCATCCATCCATCCATCTGCCTCTCTCTAAAGGAGATAAAGAAGGGAAGAAGGTAGGTTCGGGTTCCGGTGTGGTTTGTCCATCAAAAAAGGGATGATTTCACGATGAACAAACGGATGCAGGCTGAATTTTTACCTGCAACAATTCTCTCTCTTGCATAATACTTACAACTTGTTTAGTTGGGCTAAACGGTTGTAGGATTTGATACAAATTGTGACCAATTCTTGTTTCATTTTCAAAAGTAAAACGCTAACATGATTGGTGGCAATTCTTCAATTAGAATTTGATGATACGTATATTTTACCCCATTAAAAATGGACTACGCGTGGAGGTGACAGAATGATGTGAAATAAATTGAGAAATTTGTACTCATCCATCCATCCATCCAGGATTTGCTTCTTTTCCACTTTGTTCCGCTTTTCTCCCAGATTGAGACGGAAACTTCAATTATTTTCTGGACAGATGCATCCTTGCTCCTCTCCTCGTGTTGTTATTACGACACGGTTAAACGATGCTGGATTGTCTTGTCAGTCAGTCGGGTTATAAAATGCGGTGATTACTAGTGTAAAAAAACAGCGTTGAAATGTGTACGCATGATATTGATCGTAAATACCAAGGTTTTGGGATAAAGATGAACATTATTGCTGTTACAATTTTACATGCAATTTGTTACACAAAAGTTTTTCTGGTTGTTCTTATTTTTATTTTCAATCGTATTTTTACACTACTCACCGAACCTGAAATGAAAAGTGATTGTATTCACACTCCTCAATCATAAACCACGAACCATTAACTAAATATGTAACAAATAGTAAATAAATATGCATCAGCCCGAAAAGCGTAAGGTGATGAAAGTCGTGCAGATGTTTCTTTATCATTATGAACTCATGATGATGATTGTGATTTCCTCTTAAATAGATCCAACCCACCTTTTGTCACATTATTTTATTTTAGCCGAGTCCACAATGAACAAGCAAAGCACCTTTTTATCCGTCTAAATGAACCCACCATTCTGGATGGATGTGGATGGATCTCTTTTACTTCTGGCCAGTTCAAAATTCAATTGGTTTGTTGCAACTATTGCAATCTGGAACGGTGTGTTACATAATAATGAATAGCCAGCCAGCCAGTTTAGAATGAATGATACCACTCGAACCTAAATAAAAATTAATTCGCTTCACTGCACCGGTTTATTGCGTTACTCTACAAAAATACAAATGCCGTCGGTATATAATCTGGTAGTCATTCATCCCTTTTCGACAGGAAGGAAGGAAGCTCTTACATACAGGGTGGTTAAAATGTCACGCTACAATGGAAAATTTTTCGATGGGAAAAATTTATAAATTTCCATTAGTTACCGAAATTTTGTCTCTAAAATTCAATGTTTTAAGAATTTTGTCATCAGTTTTCCATCAGTTTTGATAATAATTATAAAAATCTTAATCCAAAATCTTGTAACTAATGGGGATTTAGGGATTTTTCCCATTGAAAAATTTTCCATTGTTGCGTGACATTTAAACCACCCTGTATGTACATTTGGATGATGATGAACCGTATTTTTTTACACATCACGACACGACAGAGTCGTCTGCAATTTTAGTTTAACAACGAACAAAGTAGTGGAATTACTCTGAGAGAGAGAGATTTAGTTGTTGTGTTGCATACGTAATAAATAAATATGAATTGGTATGCATTGAGCAGAGGCATTTATTTGATGTAAAGTTTGTAAAGAGGGATTAACAAGGTTTGAGTATTTACTCGTTTGACATGGATAAGACCACACCCGACTCAACAATGGAAAGGTGGTGGATAAATGAGCTGTGCATAAATAAGAGCGTCCTAAATTGCATGAAAAGGAGTGAATGAAATGAAAATGATTCAGCAAAGTATTTATTTATCTCATTCGTGGTGTTTTATTCGTACGAGTAAAGAAGTAAGAAAGGAAATGATGAGTACAATTATTTGTTTGGGAGGATGTTATCAAAAGTCTGCAAGCTTAAACAAATTGGTTAATTAATTCTATTTCGCACTTTTTTTGCAGGAGATTGTCCCAACAATGGGAGTAAAAAACGGAGAATTAGTGAATCTTCGGACTTTTCTGTGTCATCGAATCCTGGACTTGGACCTGGAAATGCGACGCCCACTTATCAAACGACGTCATCAAGTAAGGGCTCCCCCACCCCGCCAACCCTTCAGTCTAGAAACACGTTTTCATCATCACGAGGCCTCCATGTCGCTGTCCCATGTTCTCAACAAAGTCCCGACACGACGACACAAACACCACAGGTACTTACATAAATTATCTAAAATTATAAAGCAAATGAGGCATTACATAAATTAACATGATGCTTATTTTCTCGTTTAGACGGAAATGTCCCCAGCTTCCTCGGTGGGATCGGAACGTTCCTTCACCACGACGAGTCGACCACTTCGATCTACTCCGACTCCACCGTCGTCATCCTCGTCTTCTTCGACCACACCGCTTGGAAAATCCAGTCCGCCCGGTGTCATGACAAGAAGTGCGGCCGCAGCGACGAAGAATGACAATTTAACCGCTTCGCCTAATACTACACCTCCGCCCACGAGTAATTCCCCCACCATCACAACTACTCCACCAACGACCACGACTACATCATCATCCACCAGAAAAGCATCTTCTAACCAGCCCCACATTAGTACAACGACAACGAGCCAAAAATGTGGTGGCAGAGAAAAGTCTCCTTGTCCCAATGTGGATGTGAGGTCACTTCCCACCGAAGGAAATCGTCCCCCGCAGCCAGGAAAGGAAACGGTGTCGAGTAATTCGCCCCCGCCCGTCGTAATTGTGCCATCATTGCCGCCATCAAGTACGACCACGACGACGATAATAACTCCTCCCACTCTGCCTCCCTTGGTGGACTTGTCTGGAAACCTGCTCGGACTTTCGTCCACCCCGACAACAACTATTTCAACATCATCATCACCTTCTTCTAGTCAGTATACGCTAACTCCGCTCAGCCTTGCGGATTGCACGAATAACACGACCATCACACCAGCCACGACCACCACGACGACGACAACTTGTAACCTGTCCACTTTACCAATGACGATGAATATGAGTCTCAACTCGAACGGTTGTGGTTTCACGTTGTCCCCCATTGTTCATTCTGGGACGGGGATGAGCATATTGAATTCTCCACTTACAATTCCAACCTTAGATCTCCAGAAATTAATCGGGGCTGACGGGACGCTCCAGCAACAGCACACGTTCCTCCCACAATTCCAACCACAAGTCCTCTTCTCGATCCCAAGTAATAATAACAACGCGACGAATAACACTGGTGGGCAGCAGCTCACCCAAATCCAGCCATTGGTCAATACCACGTCACTCAATGGTGCCACGGTCGTAATGGAGAAGGTCAGTTCGGGAGAGAAAGCTGCAGACTCATCAGCAGAGAAATCTCCGCTCCAATTAGTTCAGGATGTGGTGAATCGTGTCGATGAGAAGAAGAAGAAAGACGGAGAAGGAACGACAGAAGCAGATCCTTCCAAATCTGATTCAACATCCGATACCAAAAGTGATGATGGAGCGAGCAATAATGACGATAATGATGACGGTGATAAGAGCAAAAAGACGGGAGGAGAAGTCGTTAGCCCTGTAAATGACTCATCTTCCTTGGAGAAAAGTAGTACAAATCCATCAGATAAAGCAGCAGGCGGAGGAGAGGAAAGTCCTTCCACAGAGAAATCAACGAGTGATGGCACACCGACAGCGAAATCTGCTACAGACAAGATACTGCCCAAGCAGCCTGACTCTGTCACCACCCAACTACCACCCCAACAACAACACCAATTCATCCAACAGATCCCACAAACCGTCACGGTGTCCTCCACCCCGCAAATCTTTCTCCAACAGAGCGGTGGTCAACCCACATTTACCACGTCGTCAATCCCAACCAGCGATGCTTTCGGCCAAATGCGTTACCCAATTATTCAAACGATTCAACCATTCTTCTCCACGGGAGGCCAACTCATCTTCTCATCACCGAATCAGGCGCAACAAGGCCAAGGCAACACGACTGGGGATCCATCCTCCATCCTGCAACAAGGGCAGCAACAGCACCAGCCAAGCATTCAGCAGCAACCTCAGCAACAGTCTTTCATCTACCATCACCAAGATGCCCATCAAGCCCATCAACCCTTCTCCGCCATTCTGGGGGACGGTACAACCATGCCGTTCATGTTTGACCCGGCCGCGGGCACCTTTATTTCCCCCCTGACCTTGCAGTCCAACAATAATGCTACCACCCCAGGGGGGAAGAAGAAGAAGAAGCGTCTCTCCAAGAAACAGCAGCAGCAACAAGCCCACCTCCAACTCCAGCAGCAACTACTCATCCAACAAATCCAGGCTCAACAGCAAGCCCAGCAAGCTTTATCGGCCGCCTTCTCGTCTCCCTTGACCATTTTCCCGCAGTCCTTCCCCCTCAGCCTGCAACCTATGGGGATGAATATGAACATGAATATGAACATGCCCTTCTTCCAGCCTCAAACTATACTCACGCTGCCGAACCTTATTCTCAATCCGGCCGATGGGACGCTGTTCCTCCAGCCAAGTGCTCCCGTCGCCACGCAGCAGCAAGCCACCACACTTGGCCAGCAGCAACAGCAGCAAGGAAACGTTCAGCTCCAGCAAGGGCAGCTTATCGGTGGTGGTTTAAATCGTTCCAGCCTTCCAACGAATCCGCTCATTGCGCCGAAAAAGGACGAAACTGGGTCATCATCATTATCAAAACCTGGCTCCGAGTCGGGATCTTCGGACGATCTGCGGAGGAATAATCCAACTCCGGACTCGAGCACGGGGGACATTGGGGCAGCGGGTGGGGTGACACAACTCGGGATATTGGCCGGGTGTGGGGGAAGTAGTGGGAGTAATTCCTCCTCCACAACAACGACGCCAATCCCCAGTCCGATAATTAGCGTGGGTGGTGGCGGCGGCAATGGTGGTGGTGGCTTAATTCCTTTGGGACCAGGACATCAAACGACGACGACAACTACCGTGCTTCCGGTGGTGAAGAAAGCCTCAATCAGCAAGTCTAGAGCTGTCAGTAGTAGTTCCACGGTTAAGAGGATTTTCCACCAGAAACAAATCCTACCAAAAATTGATTCTACTACACCATCGAATGATTAGTAGATTAAAAATACCTTCCAATAATAAGTTTCTCTCAATTGGAAGGAATTGAGCAGGAATCCAAGAAAATAGTTATAAATAGGACGAAATTGAGTTAATTTCGACTGGAAACCTTACATTTGTTGGTAATGCATACATGTAACATGCGAAAGTTGAGTTTTACAAAAGATCTGGGTGCTATATATTCATTACATTTACATTTATAAAACTGGATCGTCGTGTATGCATTATAAAATTACTAATTTACATAAACACTAAGCTACTCGTACGCATATTAACAAAACTAATGATATTATTACGACAACAGTATGAATACAACCAACCAAACACAAGTCCGAATAACATTCAATATTACTGCGTAGCTTTTTGAAATCCTGGTGCATTTATCCTTTTCGTCACATTTTTATTTTGTATTTTAAAAAAAAGATCTGTTTTTAAATCAAAGTTTTGTTGGAAATCTCACACATAAATAACGACTGAGAAAAAGGGATAGGAATTTCCACATTCACTATATTTTCAACAAATTATGACTAATTTTTATAACGAGAAGACAGTTTTCTTTTTAACTTATATCCCAAAATGTAGTTTGTCTGTTCTCATTTATTTCAAACTATTTGTAGCAATTGAGACCTCCCAGCGTATGGTCTCAGATTTTGACCAAATTAGTGTCACACGGATGATAACAAATTTAATTAGTATGAAATTTGCAAATTGTACGATCTGCCAAAACCTGAGAATTGGCAGATAGTTTCTTTTGCAAATTTCACATTTATTAAATTTGTGATCGATTGACACTAACTTAATCAAAATCAGAGATCACACGCTGAGAGACCTCCATTGTACGTAGGTAAATTATGAAACCCTTGTGATAGCAGTTTAACATTTGTTATTTTATTATACTTGATTTTAAGTCGTTGACCGGTGTTGAAAAATTTAATTTTAACCCTTTACCGTGTATGATTGACGACAAGAAAACGCATTAAATCGGGGACACTATAAGTATGTTGTGGTCATGACGCGGGAGGAGAAATTCAGGTGTTTTTAATAAAACTCGAAAAACTGAAAAATCAAAAATTTAACATTGAGTTGTATAGGGAAATATCCAAATTTTTGGGAAGAAAATCTTCAAATTTAGCATTGTGTTGGCATAGGAGAAATCCCTCAAAATTGAAACAAATTTTAGGTCGGGGAGAGAAAATGGTGAAAATCAATGACCTCCTATAAACGACAATTGTCTTCCTTCCGCGCCATGACCACGATTTTTCAGGACGACTTTTGTCGTACTCCCGAATTAAACCATTTCTTATAAAACGACAATTGTCGTCGTTACAGTTTAAAGGGTTAATAGCTTTATTGTTACGTAATTTTATTCAGTTTAGATACTTACAGATTTTTAACCTCTTGAGTTAAGTATGGTTACGGAAAGAACATAGTACACGGTAAAGAAACCAAAAATTTAAGGGTATTGCTAACTATTTAATTGTTTAGATCGACTACGTAGTATTATAATTACGAATAGATCGTAGTAAATGTTGCACGACTTGTAAATGCTAAAATTGCAAAAAACTTATAAATAAATACCTGCAAAAAGTGTCCATACTAAAATATGTACATGTCATTTTATTCATAAGGACGAATTTTTGTGCTATGATTATAATATTTAAGGCTTACTTAATGCACGTCCTATTGTTGGATATTTACATAAGTAATGTACTGACTGCTACTACTGTGTTTTGGGTATTGATTGTTGTAAATATTGTACAATTAAATATGTCTGTTTAATCATCTGTTTCTATAAATGTTGTAACTTTACCTGTGTCAAGATAAAAATAGTTAATTCTAATTACGTAATCTTATCACATTAATATCATGTAAATGGTATTGAGTAATAATAAAAGCGTTTTCAAGTCGAATCCAAATTGAAGTCGTCCAAAAACTTTGTACTGTTAAACATTTCATCAACATACATACGAACCAAGTATAAATATATTTAGCAATAAATGAGTAGTGGTGAGGAGGATTTATAAAGAAATTATTTTGGACGGAAGTTGAAGTTACGTAAGCAAAACCTACAGTGCAGACTCCATATAGCCCGAGTCAGGGACAGAGTCCCTGACTCCTCCAGGGTCACTCTGGTTAAAATTTGCTCACTTTTAGCTTCATATCCTTTCGTGAGAAGCCATTAGGTATCACCGTGCCGGATTTAATGTTTTAAAGTAATTTCTAAAAATCGGTATGGGTCACCCCACAGGGTCGCTCCAGATAAGAATTTTACCAATTGCATGTCATATTCTTCTATTAAGACCCATTAGCAATCTATCTACCAAATTTCAGCCAGGTATGACGATTTTGAAAAATCGGTATGGGTAACCCCGTAGTCCCTCAAGATGAAAATTTTTCCAACTTGAAGTCATTTTTATCTATTAGGAGCCATTAGCAACCTCTGTACCAGATTTCAGCTTTCTACGACAACTTTGAAATTTTGGTGCACGAGACCCCACCCACTCCGATGACCCCCACCGGTCAACCACTTGACCGATTTTGCCCATCTTCGAACTCGTTTCCTAACTTTGTCCAATATGCATATGGTAAAAATTTCAAGTCAATCGGTTCAGCCGTTTTGGCTCTATCGTGCCGGACAGACGGACGGACGGACGGACGGACATGACGGTTCCATAAGCCCTGACTCGGGCTAAAAAGTTGGTAAAGCTGAGAAAGAGAAAGTTTCCAGACTGTTGAAAATTTAATACGATTCAGCTTCACTGGGAGGTCGGGTCTAGAATGGACGACTAATTAGCAGGTATACAAAGTTGATTCCATGTGAATGAAACCCGGTGCGGTATTAATAAATGACAAGATGATGATTTTCATGGAAAATGTAAATTTTTCCTGTAAAACAGCGTCTAATTAATACAACTCATTTCCAAATATAATTTAATAATCCTGTCGAATAATCGGATGACAAACTCGGTATGCGTGATCGGATTTAACGCTTGATAAATCAAAGAGGATCAAATCAACAAAAGGGAAAATGTGTGTATTTAGAAATAAAGCGATCTTTAAGCTGGAAGAATAATTCGCTAATTAATGGGTACACAGAGAGATTACAAAGGGATCGAGTCTTGCCTGTAGCTTTCATTGACAAAAGAAATTGTTTATGACGGCATGAAATGTCCTAAGCGGTCGGAGCGAGGTATGCATTTGAGCGATACACGTATGAATATGTCAGTCTATTCAATGTGACTTTGATTTAGACTTTGGAATTTGTGTTTATTCTAAGGTAAAAAATAAATGCGTCGAGCCAACAATTACCAATTGTCACTAGTTGTGTAAATATGTGTAAAATTGAGCCAATAATTGTGTAAATAATAATGATCCTTGTCATTGTTGAGTGCAAACTTCAAATCTGACGTAGCCCTAGTCTGTCACTTTCTCCAAGAAATTGAACAGTTTGAGTTATCCCACATTCATAAACTTTCCAATACGTTTAGCATGTGAAATGTCAAGTTTCCCTCACAGAATTAAAAGAAAATTGGTATTTGTCACCTTGTTCGATCCCTCTAGAAAACAATGGAATCAATCAAACTGACTTGAATTGCAACTTTCTAGTTTAATTTCCTACCAGAATTTATAAGCTATGCTGAAACCAAGCACACGTATGTCGGTCTTGCCCATCCTCAGCCAAATAAAAGAAGATGCGTACGTTTTTACGACCAAGTTCGTCAACTTCGTCGGGCTAGTTTGGTATGTCACAGACGAGCAGTCCGACAGACACGAGGGTTCTGTAAGCCTTTGTCTCTCACCAAAATTTCCATCCATCCCAAGTTCCGTGGTGCACAATTGAAGCACGAGTTGCCCATTAGCCGCTCTCTCTCTCGTCTCTTCCTTATTGTTAGTGGGACACGGCGAGAGAGAAAGTTCTGGTGAAAGTCAAGGTAGCCTGGAATTGGAGTTTTTCACAAGCAACAGCGTTTTGGAGGGATGCTTCTACACCAACAACTAACTGACGGACGAGCATACGATCGATTCCCCAGAGCAAATAAGACTACTTCTTCTGCCATCATAACTACCACGACCACTACTCCTTCTTCTAGTCAAACTAATAAAGCAACTCGTCAACCAAGCCGTGTGTTCCAGGACGTTTCACTCATCCTCCATCCGTTCAGTTCTTCTCGCTATTATTGGCACATTGTGAAGCAGAAGAAAACTGAAAATCTATCCTTATTCAGTAGTAAATGGAATAAGACGACTTGGCGAATATGGCTGCACCTGCCGAACGCGAAAAGGGCAAGCTCAACTGGTTAAGTCTCCAATAAAAAATGAATGGTTATGAATTGGCGAGTCCCATACTAAAGGATGCCTTCATACATGCACGATAAATTAACATGTGACATGTGACTTTAACCTGGAGATATGCATGGCCTTAAAAATTGGTTGGTTTCCAATAATTGGTGCGAGTGCCCGACTTTCTCCAGGAATGACACTATCCATGCTTTCTCCTCGGCGAGTGTGGTGATTTCCTTATCTTTGCAATTACGATGAGATAGCTTCCATTTTATGGCTGTATTTGCAGTTATATTGTTCCCATTTTCAGGCAGTATGTTATTGGGAGTGTGGAGGAGTGGGTGCAGTAGTGACTTTTTTTACGGCACTATTTACAAGATAAATATTTTGTCCGTGCAACCAAATTCTCGTCAGTCGGTGTGGACGGGAGGTTGAAAATAGTAGAGAGAAAGTCTGTGAGAGACTATGAAATAATGGAGGTCTCCCAGCGTATGCTCTCCGGTTTTGACCAAACTAGTGTCAATCTCACAAATTTAGGTAGTGTGAAATTTGCGAAAGACACGATCACCCAATGTGAGGGTTTTCAAAAATAAATATTTGTATCTAAAGAGGAGAAAATGCGCCTTAAAGTTGGCAAATTTTACTAGACTTTCTTAATTTACTTCACGCTTTCTCCTCTTTGGATGCAAATATCTCTGCCAAACCTGAGCATTGGCAGATCGTGTCTTTTGCAAATTTCATATTAATTAAAATTATCTTCGATTGACACTAGGTTGGTCAAAATCGGAGAGCATACGCTGGGAGACCTCCATTCTGAGTAAGGTATTGAAGAAAGGTTCAAAATAAGAATGGTATACAAAACCTCGTCATCTCTTGTGTTGCATGTTTCATCAAAATTGTTATTCGAATAGTGAACGCAAGACTACTGCTTCACTTAATTCTGGTCCTCGCCTTTGTGCTGGTGCTGGAAGAGTAATAGCATAAAGTAAACTTTGAGACGAAATTGGTCCCTTTAGTTAGTTAGTTCTCATCTCATTTCAACACGGAGAAATCAGCAAGCAAGCAATTTGTAGTTTCTCTCTCTATATTTTGCGGATGGTTGATTTCGTACTCTTGTTTCGTGTCTAATCTCATCTCGTCAGCAGCCGGATGGATGGCTTCTGCTCCCTCGTCCTGGTCGTCTGCTAGTCTTCCAGACTACAAAACTCGTGATAACCAGAAGAAGAAGCAGCAGCAGGAGGAGGACGAGAGGGGCAGAGGCATTGTGTTGAAATGGCAAAGACTGGAAAATCTCACTCAATGCATATGTAATCTCGGTGTTCGAGTGCCTTGTATGGGCAGACGACTGATAAATAGAAACTGTTAGATCAGTGAATGTAGCATGCTAAAATCTATTGGCCAGTGTTTCTGCTGTTAAAAAACATCTGCACGAAATAAGTGCACAAAAATATTTTCAAACTTTTAATAACAATCACTTAAAAGTCAGAAAAGTGTATAAATTTCTTGAAAATATGAAAATCCCGACATACATAAATTGCATTTCAATCATTTTTGTTCATTTTCTGCACTTTCACTTCGGACATTTTGTATTTTGTATCCATCATGCATTCATAAAAATAATATTGCACAAAAAAAACACTGCTACTTGCCGACGTCAAGTGTCTTAATTCAGTGGAAGTTAGTGTAGAAAATAATACAGAAATTAGAATTTTTCCCTTTTTATAATTTTTCTTTCTTCTTTTTATAATTTTATGATTAAAAAATTTGAAAAAAATCCTGTCTGACCTGAATCCCATTATTGACCCAAGTTTTTTCCCTCTCCATCACGTCACCAGCCAAGCGAAACATTTTGAAATGAGAAGAAGAAGACGACGAAAGCAAGGAGCGGAAGAATAGAGTGCGGGAGAAAGCAACTCGTGCTGGTGGGATCTCATGCAGTACCAGCGTCCGTGTTTTGGCCCACAGACATCATTCACCTCACTCGCACTCAGTTCATTCCCAGCTTTCACTGGAGAAAGTCGGACGCACTTTTTCAACGCTGCTCACTCAAGCACTTGTTGGCATTGAGAGAGGATTTGGAAGTAAATGAAAAATTGAAGTTGCGGTTTGGTGGTGGTTTTTTCATCCTGAAGTCTAAGTTTAGAACTAAATGTGCACTTTTTCAGAAAGATGTTTGTTTATAAACTTCATACACAAATTTCGTAGTAACACTAAAATCTTAAAGATTAGAGGCTCGTTTTAATGATATTGAACTTTTTCATATGAACATCAGTTCTATTTGTAGCTGAAGGAGAATGAATTAGCAAACTTGTCTGGTGGGAGGTGTATAAGTGGTGCAGAAACTTGTGTAAATTTATCTTTGTCTCGTCTCATCGAATCTATTTCTTCCTTCCTTCCTCCATCCATCCAACCATCCATTTGGCATCATTTTCTCCCTACAGTTGGATGGAGAGGAGGAATAAGTGCTTCTCATCGTGAACAAAGATTTGCTGAAGAGTTAGACAAAACTTGTTGTGTGTCGTGTTTCGTTCCACTTTTTGAATTGTTTGTTCACTCGATTCATCATTAGTCAAACTAAGAGTGAGAAGATATAAATAAGTGGTTCGATTGTTCTCTAACTATTGATTGGCAGGAATCATAACATTGGCAAAAGTGACAAAATATCCATGCTACATAATTTTCACACCCTCAACTTTGAAAACCAATTATTTAGTTGGTAAAACATATGTAAATAAAGTCATATAAACTTTGTACCGGAAAAACACGATCTGTTTCTTATGTAAAGAGATATTTGTCGTCCTTGTTGTCTGAAGTCTCATCTGCATTCACAACTTCACCTTTCACCCGTTGACTAATACACTTCCTTTCGCTCCTCTTTACATGACTTCCTTCACGAAATAGGTGAAATATCGACCAGTCCAGCAACTGTACCAGTGACGTGATAAAGATTTATAACTATTGCCCCCAAAAAAAGAAACGTGTGTAAAGATTAAAATTCAACACATTTAGACAAAGTAGGGAAGAAATCAGTAACGATTTTATCCGTTTTCGCTCTGAAAGTATCAGTGATTTGTATACGTGCTCAGAATTGAATCATGGCTCCGATATCGACGCTGGTTTTATGGATCCTTCTCATCTCACAAGTGGGGACGGGATTCTCGAAAAGTAAGACGATATACACACAATACACTTTTTGTAAAGTATGCCTTACTTATTTATTAACTTTCTCTTTTGAAACACGAGTTGATTTGAATTTTAAAAGTAAACGAGATTTGATCTCGATATTGCTCGCTCAGTGATCCATGCAAGTAACACAATTCTTCCACTTTCTCCATTATGGATTCAGAGAAAGTGAGAAGAAAGAGAGTACCAATTTCCATTACGGATGGAAAGGTGGGTGACGTTGCTTTGCCGTTTTTTTCTGTTTGCTTCCTTTCTTCCCTTCCTTATTCATCGTGTAAGGGTTCATTCTTCCATAAAGCTACGTAGCTCTACCTGCAGTAGGAAAAGTGCATGCATGAAGTTCCAGGTGAAGAGTTTCCTGTATGTAAGTCGTCGTTGTTGTTGTTGTTGGTGCTGAATTCATCTCTTGTGAGGCTGCTGTTGGTACGAGTATTCTGTTGAAATCAGTGAAAGAAGAAGGTGCAAGGACTGAGAATATGGAGTTTATTTTATCGATTGAAGTCGGATCTTTGTGCAGAGAGAGAGAGAGGTGAATTGTGGAATCTTTTGACATGAAGGTGGAGTATGTTTGTATGTGTTTACCTGGATGGAGGACTTGTGAGTCCCGCATGGCATCTTGTCAAAGTAGGAAAGGATGAGATGAGTCGGGATGATGTTGATGATATCGATACATATGTGTCGTGTATGTGTACATGCACTTCTGGAAAACTGGTATTTAATCAGTACTTACTACTTACCGGAGTACATATGTGACTCTACCGCCACGGTAATACATAACGGACATTACCGTTTAGTAATGTTGTGGTAATGAAAAATTTACCACTCAGAAACAAACTATTACTAATCCGGTAGAAAGTTATTACCAAGTCAATACCAGTATGGAGTACATGATATGTGACTCTACCTGATTTTGAGCAGTGCACACATAATATGTAAGTACCTAGGAAGGAAGGAGTGTAATTTTGTAGTTACATACATGGTGGCAGCTTAATTTGGGTTGGGTGGCATTTTTGTATGCGAGGAGAGACGTTATTTGACTTCATTTCATTAGGAGAAAGATAATCCTATCAATTTTCTGACAAGAGTTAAATGAAATATGAAACCGAATCTGTACAAATTAAGGTTTACAACTAAGCAGATTAGGGCACGGGAACTAATTTTTGTCGTAAATAATGTGGAGAAAATGTGGGCATATAATTTAGCTTGGTGCTTACTTGATGTGATTGGAATCCGGACTTGTTGAATAATCGATCGCTTCCTACATAGCTTCCTTCCCTCGTGCGTTTGGGGAGGAGAAAGTCCGTGTAAGTCAGCCGAGTTGACAAAAGTATTCGGATGAAGTGTGTGGTTTGGCTTGGTTGGACTTTTATCTAGGACTTCTATCTGGAAGTTGGCACATTTCAGCGTGCAGTGAGGACGAGTGGATCGTATGGAAATGACAGCAAGAATAAATTGGACAAAATTCGTTTGGTGAACGAGATGTGGTTCGTGTTAGATGGGTGGATTTAGATTTGCATTTTAACAGAATGTTGGTTGGCATTGAATTCGGGGAACCTTTTTCATTTCGGGGTGAGGATCGGTTCTTTTAAAATGGAAATTTGTCGTAATTTAGAAAGTATTAGGGCTGAGGTGGATACCTGGGAACGTGAATAGTATGAATGCGATTGGTTGTATGATCCCGTCCTTTGAGATGGCTAGTTTTAGTTCCATATTGGACAAATTAATCACTTTTTCACTTTCGCCGAAGTAAGAAATTGTGGAAAATACTTGGACAGCCTCGTGCCCAGGATGACATTTATTTGCTAAAAATCCAATTTCAAAAGTGCAGCGTGCTCGTACGTCTGAAGATTTCCGATAAGGTCATCACTTGTTTATTGCATCCGTTTTATGACGGTGATTACATGCAGGACGATCCAATAAATGTTATTTCATGTCTTCCTTCTGCCCATTGTCTTGGCCTACTTTCTAAATCACTGTGCTTTCTAGAAGCTTGTTTTCTTCGAATTAATATACTAACCTCTCTCCTCAGCGGATAATCTTATGAACGACCTGCATCGTAACTTGACAGCCTCGCTTGGATTGTTCCATCATGTTGAAGTTGAACCTTAATGAAATTAAGATTCCGAGAATTTTCTCCCCCTTGGCACATTTTCTTCATAATCGTGATCCTTTCCTGAGCAATAAATATATTTTACAACCTTACGTAAACATTATTCAATTTAATTACATCACAGGAAAATTTCTCGACCAGAAACCATTTTCTTTACTTTACCTCGCGGGATAAAAGCAGTCGTACATAGAAAGGGCTTAAACAGTTTAGCACTTTAGCGGACCGAAAGAAAAACACTTTATCCCCTTACATGTTTTATTTACTTACTAATCTTTCAGCCGGGCTGAATTTAATGATGTCTTATACAGCGTCAGATTATTTTCACTTTGTGTTGAAAGTTGAAACCAAGAGGTAGAAAAGGACCCATTAATAGAAAGTGTAGCTTAAAACCGCAAAGAATTTGATACGTAGGCACGACTCGTAAAAAGTCCCACCGCAACAATGTCTCGTTGGGTGAAAACCTTCAAATTCTTGGGGTTCGTACTAAACACTGCCTCGTGAGTATTTAGTTGCATTGTCAACCCCACCCACCCATTGACAACGTCGAGAGAGATAAAACTTCATCAAAAGCACAGATCCGTCCATGCCTGGAGCACGAGGCAGGAAGGATGCGAATTGTTTGCACGCCTTACATAACTAACAATCCAATCCATCAGTATCCCACCGGGATTTGGACGATGTATGGAAAAGAACAAGTTTCATACTTCAAATTTTGCGAATTCATACGTTTGTAGCATCGCAGCGAAATTGAATGGATATCTGTGATTGTATCCATTATGATAAATATTTTCTAAAATAGGTGTAGCTTCAGACTGGAAATGGTCCATGGGAAAATGTGTAGTCCTGTGCAGTCACTTGTATTTACTAATGTTTTATACGTATTTATTTTTAGAAATGACAGTAAAATGTAGATCTTGATCATAAATGATGACTATTTTCAAGGGCTTAAGTTAACTAGGTACATATGTACATAACTCTAAACTGATAATGGAGGTCTTCACGCGTATGCTCTCCGATTTTGATGTCAGTCGATCACAATTTTAATTAATGTGACATTTTCAAAAGACACGATCTCCTAATGCTCACGTTTGGCAGAGATATTTGCATCCAATGAGGAGAAAGCGCGTCCTAAAGTTGACAAATTTTAGACTTTCTTTTATTTTTTTTTATTTTTTTTAGACTTACTTTACTGCGCGTTTTCTCCTCTTCGGATTAAAATATCTCTGCTAAACGTGAGCATTGGGAGATCGGATCTTTTGAAAATTTGATACGAATTAAATTTGTGATCGATCGACACTGGTTTAGTCAAAATCTGTGAGCATACGCTGTGAGACCTCCATTGTGAGTTGTGCCACCGTGTCACCCAGTCATACCATCAAGATCCTGCCGGGTTAATCCCCTTTGAGCTAAATTTACCACCGGTGGTTGGTTACCAATTGAAAATAAATTGTGGACATTGACATTGAATGAATCTATATTTGGCCACCTTGACATTTCATGCTCTTCATTCGTGTTGTTAAATAAAGTCACTTGATCTATTCCATTAGGCATCGCGGTACCATAATAACTTTTGAGCAGGTCTTGAAATAGTTGTCTGTCTGTATCTACGAAATCCCATCTCCCCACCCACGCGAATAAAGTAAATAATTTGTAAAGAATTTCGCCCCACTCAATCCCAGCATTGAACAAGTCTGACCTTTTTCTCCTTTTCGTAATTGTGTGCATACATATCTCACCAATAAACGAGGAGTAAGCCTATATTCCAGGCACGATTACGGGGACAAACCAGTAAAGCATAAGCAGCTTAAGCCATTCTTCTCTCTTCTTTGCATCAACTCCATCCATCCAGGTAGACCTGGGCCCGACGCCGATGAGAGAAAGCAAGTCGTCGTGAGTGAAGTGGTGAAATTCGACCTGTCACAAACAACTCGCAATCCGAGGTTTCACTTACTTTACTTTTATTTTAGTTCTTCTTTTGAGATTAATTCTGGATGGTGGCAGTTATTTGCGTGGGCAGAAGGACCCCACTTTTTACTTCCTCTCAAGTCGACGTTGCGAAACGGGTTAAAAAAAGTGGACAGGTGGGTGACAAAAAGTGAGTGGCATCATGTACGAACGATATAGACATCCCGGAGCAATGGCCGCGGAAGGTGTGGGGACATCTGGGGACATTAGCTTTGTATGATAGGGGTTTATATAACCAGTAACCAGGACATTGAACAACCGTGGGGACATTGCCCCTCTGCCCCCACGCTTCCGCGGTCACTGTCCGGAAAACAAGTCAGACCACACTACTGTCAAACATGGTAGGAGTAATTTCAGCTATTTATTAAACGTCAGATAGCTTCAGATAACTCATACATCTTGCCTTTTGATGCAATAAATTTTTCCATTTTTTATTTAATTAAATGATGAACCCAGCAGGGAAAGGTGGAGGTTTGGAATGATTAGAAAAAAATGTGCTCGTGGGGACGTGGGTGAGTGAAGGGTAGTGTTCTCAATGGTCCGGTTCGGTCCGGTCCAGTGCAGGATCAGGACCGGACCGAAGACCGATAAGCTTGGACCGAAACCGGACCGATATTTTTTGACAGGACCGGGACCGGACCGAGTCTTATCGGTCGGTCCCGGTCGGACCGATAAGATTTCGCTTTCAATATTAGACAAACCTTACGGATTTTACAAGTTACTTCCGAACACGTTAGTTGCTTCACAGAAAAATTTAAGTTTACATTTAATTTTCAAAATTTATTTTAACGTCGTAAAATTCGAAGTTCTTATTAGAATTTTATTTTTTTGATAGATTTAAAGATAGTGACAAGTTTTCACAAGTACAGATTATGAGGGTCACCAAATTTTCAGTAGTGTGCCATTACTAGTGTCTCACCTACTGTCTTTTATCTGATTGAGTAAAAGAAATTTTGTTATTCCCTGCGGCGCAATATAAAATTTAGTGACCCACATGAACTTTTTGAACCTGACCATTGAATAAATACTCTTTACGTTAAACGATGACTAAAAATGGGACAAATTTTAAAACGATTTGTGAAAAATTTGGAAATTTACAGAGATTAATCTCAGAATGAATCGCACGCTAAGTTAAATCTAAGCTTACATCTGTTACAAATATTGGTTGGCGAATCTACCATAAATTTTGGTAAATAAATAACAATTATCCCCAACCTTGCAAAAAAAATTAGATAGATGAAAGTGGTCGGCATGTGTGCGACCGACAAGAGTGAAAGCAAGTAAACAACGTCATAAACTGTAGCAAACGCAATGTAGCAGTAGGGTGAAACATTTGAGAAAGGGCAAGCTGGCTTGGCTTATTTCATACTTATTTCTGTTAATTTTAACGTTTCAAAGATGAAGTACACACATTTGCGTACTGCATAAAACTAAAAAAAAATTCTAAAAAATCTGAGTATTTGTTTGGCAATTTTGTGGCAAATTAGATGGTTAATAGTCGATTGTTTAAAATCATCCCAAATTATGGAATTTTCTCTATACCGGTACTTGGAAACTGGTTGAAATAAACATACCGTCTTTTGTAGGAAATCATGAAGATTTTCATTGGTTGCTATTCGGTGTAATTAAAAAATCAACATCGTACCCAAGGAAATTTTACACAAAAATCATTGATACGAAAGAGGTTAATAAGCTAATTCAAAAGCCAGATATAATAGATATATGTGGTCATAAAATTAAAGCGCTATGTTGTAGCCGTTTCACATTTTCTCCAAAAGTTATCGTCCGAAGGTTATCGGTCCGGTCCTAAACAGTCAGGACCGAGACCGGACCGAAATTTTTTATCGGTCCTGGTCCGATCTAAGCCCAGGACCAGGACCGGACCGAACCGGAGTTATCGGTCCGGTCCGGTCCGTGGACCGGACCATTGAGAACACTAGTGAAGGGGAAACGTATGCGACGCGATTTTTTTAAGTTTCGCTATGTCTCTCGTGTCATACACAATTTGGTGACGAAGATGGAGTGAATTTAGATCCGGGGATCGTCTTCCTTGTACCTCTGGCATTTTACTTACGTGAGGTGGGTGAAATTCCCGGAAAAAGAGAGCTAAATATGATCAGAAAGATGTATGTGGGTTTATCCCCTTCAGAAAAAAAGAGATGGGTTTCCAGAAATTATTTCCATTTCACTTAACTCAATTCCATCTCGTGGTTGATTTCACTTTTCAAGTTATTAGTAGTTAAATAGTGATACACGTTCCATTACAAAAATTCACGGGTGGGTGGTTGACTCACCTTACGGTGGTCGTCAGTCCCTGTCACTTTCACCTCGACCTCAACTTCCAGCCCACCCGACAATAACTTTCACTTCATGTTGAGGAGAACTAATTTCCTCGAGTTGGAGGAATTTCAACTAATTTCTATTTCTACCTAACTTGTCGGTTACACACCTGCTTTCACATCTCCTCCTCCGATATTGATTGACAGAACAGCCAACAACATCCGGTCTTGTTCACAACGTTCTGAACAAGTTATTACTTTTAGCTTGATTATTCCTATTGCTCATGGACGGAAATTTCTCGTAAATAAATTTGGGATGGGAGGATAGGAAATTACAATATTTTACACATCAAAGAATTCTTTAAAATCTGAACTTGCTCTCGGATCGAGTTTATTTGACTGCGCGAATTAAAATTCTTAGAAATTTTGATCAATCCGAAAGAGGAAATCAGTTCAGCCCCAGCCCAGCTAGAAAGAAAGGGTAAGCATGAAAATAAAGGATGTGGGACTCGGAGCACAGAAATATTAATATTAATAATAATGCCACCGGCACCCATTAATTCTGCCTGCTCATCCATTTGGAGGACAATACATAGACTTTCTATGCATTTACGTGTGTAGCGGTTTTAATATAATTCATACACGCAAAGCGAATGCAAACCTTCAGTTGGTTTGGTTTGATAAAGCTTTCGGATTGATTACAATGTACTTAATTCAAGGATGGGATGGAATATTGTGGCTGAACGTAAATATGTATTTCTGTCCCACTGTGATTATTAATCTGTGTGGTTACTGTACTGAGATTTATGCAGGGAAAGGGCTTTATTAATCTCAAGTTGTAATACAAATTATTGATTGTATACGAAAATATTTTATCATCAAGAAGTACGTTAGTAATTCTTGAAATATTGGTATAAATTGCACTAATTATTGATTTTAATGTGTCGATTACTTTCAAATCATACTCTAACAAATGCCCCGGCATGATTTGTTTGTGAATTTTTGTGTCATACTTTCTCCGAGCGTGTTTACGTAATTCGTTCATTACGCATTTGCAAACTTGAAGTCTTGATCTAGACAAATGTTCGTCTCAATTCCAAAGTTATGTGACCTTCTGCGTTACCGTTTCCGCGTAAGGTTCCCTCCAGACTAAACAAACCAGAACATGCACGTCATAACAGTCAGGGTACGTACGTACGTAAGTAGTTGGAATAATTAGTAGAATTTATACCCTGCATGCTGTTATATCTACGTGCTGCGTATGAATGTGGTTACGTAAGCTTGGTTGACATCGTGTAGCTGGGCATATCCATATCTGCGAAAGAGAGAAGCAGGTCGGGATGGTTAGCCTCCGTCTGGTGAAATAATGTGCTTGCTCTCGAGAGAAAGTAAAGAGTGGAGACGAGGATGCTTATGCGAGTTATTTGCTTTATAAAACTCCACTACCACCAACAACATTGTTTGCACAAGATGAGAACTACGGAGCCAAACCACTTAATACTACTACTACGACGTGTGTATGGAAGCATACGTGGTGCGCCTATGTATAAATAGGTAGCCCTAATTGAAGCAGACTGCACGAGCAGCATCTATAAATGTGTGTACTTTTGCGACCACTAATGAAATTTTAGGGTGAAAGTGGAAGTCTGTTATTTTTCCGAAAATACCTGGAAAATTTAAAAGGCTTTATTTGAGGAGGTAAATAAGGACGAAAATACATTCACAGTCGTGTTTATTCCAACTTCATTTCATTCAATTGTACAATAATGGGACCAAATTAAGTTCGTCGTTTTGACACGGATTTAACCTTGCCTTCTGGAACGACGCCTACGCACAATCTGTTTGATTTGGCGTTGAGTTAAAAACATGTTGCCGACAAAAATAGGTGCGATTTCTTGGTAATGTTGTTGGTTAGTTGGAGCCAGAGTTATGAGGTTTCTTGTTTTTCTATTTTTTGGTTATTATTACGTTCAGCTAGAAAAATAAATCATGAACTTGGGGTAAATTGGGAATAAATTAGTTTTTATGGAACAAGTTTGTGATCTTGAATAGGTGTAAAAATAGGCCTGGTGGTGTTAAAAGGCAGAGTTTCCTCTTTCATTCCTAACTCAATTTTGACTACATGCGAGTAAGTAGATTGGCTCAGCAAATCGTATTGATTTTCTTTTCTTTGATAGAAACTTATTGAGTTTGAAATGGTGAAGAGTAACATGATTTGCTCACTTGGTAGGAAAAGTTGGAGGACTTGAAAGCTGGCCAACGACCGGGGTCCATCAATAACTGTAGCCTTGGAAAATTTCTAGATTTTCTTGAAGGATACAGTTGATGGACCCTGCTGGCCATGAAATGCAATGTAACAACGAACTTATGAGTAAGGATCATTAAACTTATTTTACATAGTAGATAACCAGCGATAGACTAAATATGTCACGTGTCATTTATTAGGATTTCTTAGACTTCTTTGCATATGTATGTAGGTGCATACGACTTTGTCCCTTCGTGTGGTTGTCAACACTCTGGAACATTTAAAATTTGCCTAATATATACACCTGGAGTGAAAGCTGAGGGTAGGTTCCCTTTCGGAGGGTGAGGTCAAAGGTCAAATCTAGTCAAAACCCTTCACCAATGAATTCCATCACCGATGGTTTTTCTCCTTTCTTTATACATTTTAGTGGAACAAGGTTATTTAATTTAGATGAACTTAAATATTTTTAAAGCCTCAGAAATTTGCACGAACTTTCTCCCCATAATGGCACAATTTCTGCAAGAAACGTTTCGAAAGGTGTCTCTCGTTCACCTGATTTATCCATACTTCCAACCGTTCGAGATATACGTACGTAGGTGCGTACTCATCATGGTAAAAGGATTATATTGAACTTTAATTGAAAATGAATGAGTTCCAAGTAAAGAGCATATTTTAGCTTTCACTCGGTTTCAATAAATTCCATTTGATTCCGCCTCTTGCTTAAACCTTGGTGAAGACATGATCAAGTGAGCGAGTGAGCAGGGAGTGAAAGTTAATTGACTTTACATCCCATACTCGCTACCACCGCACCACTCGACGTTTCAGAGTGGACTGGATTCCATGCAAAGTACGTAAGTGAATGAAATAGGAGAACAACAAGAATGAACATCCGGGTCAGAGTGAAAGTAATTAAAAGAGCTAATTGCTTTTCATGCTAGCTGAACAACTGATACTCGTCGTAGCGAAATTTGTTTTGGTTTCTTTTTCGCCATATGCACTAAGTTTGAATGAAGCCGTAGATTTTGCAAATTTTTAAGAAACTAACAATATTTTCAGAAGGTGCCAAACTGGGGGAGTCATGTGATCGTGGCGACTGCGTTGGCGAGTACGTATTTTGCAACAGGACGACGAGAAAATGTCAATGCGAGGCGAACCACCCGTTCCAAGTTAACACGGACAAGGGGACCATTTGTGCTAAAGGTGAGCAGCTAAATTAATTAACTTATTATTCACGTTTAAAAACTAGCAAAATGTGCATAAAATAGTACAACATCACTTTTTTTAATGTAACGCTAATAATGTCAACATAACAGTGACCACGACCACGGAAAGGTTCAGAGTTATCTTGGGGCTAGAATTGCAATGACTTCCCACACAGATGCAGATGGACATGGTTTTACTGGCCTTGTACGGCTTGCATCCAACGTGGTTGTAAATATGTCGCTCTCGATAATTCTTTACGCAGCGTCGCTCCGTGGGCTTATCATTGCCCAGAATGGTTACACACCCTGTTTTTAAATTATGGAATAATGCCAAGTTGTTGTGTATAAAAGTTATTTTTTTACGTACGGTCAATGTCAGCCGTCCAGCATTTCTCGGTCATCGTGTTGTTCCTCTTTCAAGGGTTTGTCCGTGCAAAAGTCTCGCAATCCGGGCCAGATTCTTTGCACCTAATTTACATGTACAAGTTTTTATTGTGATGCGGTTATTAATTCGTGAAAATACGTAATAATTTATTGAGGTTTAAATACAAGTAGCAGAACATTTTGCCACGAATCCCCCAAGGCTTCTTCCCGTTATGATCATGACCACCACCATGATGGCCGCCGTCGTATTGATAATCTGTGAATTTATGACGTACATATTTATGCAATCAAAGTTTGGCCAAATTATGTACTCGTTTTTCATACCATTTTCATCTTCATCGCTCTGAACTGCAATGACGCAACTTGTCAGAATAAAAATAATAACGGCAACTGACGGAGGTTTGTATTTCATTTTTCAGATTTAAGACACAAGTCATTAGCCTAAAATTCTTGACGTTAATTAATTGAAATAGAAATTCATAAGCAGCAAGAAGTCAGGTACATATATTTTGTAAATATGCGATATGGATGAGATGGACATTTTTTTACCTGGCCACGCAGAATAAATAACCCGTGGAAAAACGTAATTCATATCATCTAGCAACCGTATGATGTAATGAGTGAGGAATAAATCTCAAGGAAAAATGATGGACTTCATGAAAAAACGTGTCAAACGAACATAAAAAAGTGGCGTTATACACTAAAATGCAAAATAGCACCAAATAAAGTTACGTAAATTCTGACATTGGACTTCACCGTCACGAGGTCAAAATATTGACGCTGTTGCTTTCGTGTTGAAATTTCCTTTAAAATGACATACTTTACAATGAAAATTAAGATTAAGTTTGTCTGAGCCTCTTATCGAACTCGACCGAGAACTAAAAATTAGAATGGCGAAAACGGCGTTTGGTTATTTTTGGCCCGTTCTGAACATATCCTGCTTACGGACGACGGACGGACAAAATGATCACAATCAGCGGCTGACGCCACTTAATAAATCTAATTTCACATCTGATGAGGAATCCGAGTTGAATTCCCATGTGGTTTCGGCTTTATGGATATGGTTTTGCCTTCACACCCACCACATTTATGTAGGATTAGTCCAAATTCTCTCAGAAATTCTTGACTTGGCAAACCTAATAAAGCATTAGTAAGCATGGTGCCCCGAATGTCCCAAATATCGCAGTGTGCAGTCTGGCATGAAATTAAATCCGTACTTAATTAATTATCGTTATGTTTTGATCTCATCACTTCGTGGTACATGTGACATGCCACGACAGTCAAAATGAGATGGCCATCCTCACAGAAACCGAATTTGTGCTCACTTCCGGATTCTGCTGCGGTTTCGTGTCAATGGGAATGAAAACTTTTAGAGAATCTTGGAAATTTTGAATGCAATAAATATGTTGTCGTGTTTTCCGGCATGTGGTGCTTTTTCAAAGTGCTTAAATACAACAATAGGGATCGAATTTGATTAAAACAATTATTTAATGACATGAACGCTGAGTTATATATTTCCTCGCTGTAAATACGAAAATTTATCACTGATGGAAAAATTTGCGAGTACCCATCTCTAAATTAACGCCTGCATAATGTATGCATATGTAGTAACTACTTGTCACCCGAGATTTTCTCTAAGATGTAAACTGATCTCGGTCAGGAAGACGGCATACGTAGCGTGCATACGAAGAAAGATGAGGACTCGTCTAGTCTGGAATTAGATTAGAGGATAAATTACGTTCACCACATCAACTCACTTACGTTACGTTACGTGATTCGTTCCGGTTAGTTTGGAAAAGGAGGGAAGCATATTGGGTGAAAGGAGCCAAGAAGAAGAGGAAAAACTGGAATGTCTCCCTGCGGAGAAGTATTTACGGATTACGGATTTATTAAATCTCCGCTTGATGGACTTGGACTCACACACTAACCAACGTTACGTCCTCTAAATAACTCCCCTACCTGAGAAGCATGCATGGTAGCAACATTCAACAATTTATAGCAGCATGCCCGAGTAAAAATTTGACCAGGCTTCCTGCAGAAATTCGGTCAGAATTTTCTGCAATAAAAGCAGAGCGATTTGTGCAGAAAACTCTGTATATACGGTTCTGCAAAATCAAAGGGATATAAATTTTCTGCAGAGCTATGTAAAAAAATATGCAGAATACGATATGCATCGAGCTTTTTCTGATTACTGCAGAATTCGACACAGTGATTTCCACCCGGGATCACGGCACACTTTTACCTCATGGCCGCACGTACATCCATAGTTCCTCCTAAGCATCGACTGTCAAGCTTTCTCCGTACAAATTGTTTCTCTTCCTTTATTGAGCAGGAGGCCGTAACGTTCCCTGGAGTGAAACAAAAACCGTGGTGGTTGTTGTTGTTGGTGGTCTTCCATTAAATTGCAACACTAACCGAACCACCTCTACAAAATATCCCATAGAAATAAATGAATTTTCCACTCTGGGGGAACTTTATTTCGCTCACCATTTCACAGGCTTGATTCTATTAGCGATATTGTTAGTTCTCCACATACGTTTGGTGCTGGATGGAGAGCATTTTTGGGAGACCAGTCAATATTTGGACAGGTGGGTTCAGATGTGCTTGGAGGATAATTAAGTCACAGACGGTGTAAAAATGTGAGCGTGTGTGTGGCGATTGTTAATGGCTTCTACTTTCTCTTTGGGGTGAAATGGTGACAGATTTTTAGGAGAGAAAGCGTTACTTGATCTGGTTTGGGGTGTACTTTCAGGTAGTAACGGGGAAAAGTGCGCTCTTGGGATTCCTGGTAATTGCGGTGACATTATTTAGAGTAAAAAAACCACACGTTGTGTTTTGTCGTAATTCGTCAATTCTGTTGTATAAAGATGTTTACTTACTTGATGCGAGATTGAATGCTAAAAGTTACCTTGAGTTTTATAAATAAATGTTATGAGAGTGAATGCCTGAGTTTTTTTTAGACCTCTAATAATAACCAAGGTTCGAATTAAGCTATTTCTGACTTCTGTGCAAAAAAAACTTTTTTTTTTACTTTTTGTGCAGATATCAAACTTAGGCATTTCTCTAATTAGTGAATTTATTAGAATCATTTTTGATAGGAGAAAGTTATGCACACGTAAAATGTTCCTAACTTGTGAAAACGGGTATATTTACTTAACTATTTAGGTTTCATCAAAGTGCAACTTCTGAATATGGAATATTCAGGCCCATCGATGAGAATTTTCGCCAAGGATGGTACATACATAGACTTAATGAATATACATAATAGCGAATATATTACATGTGTGCAGTCTTGTAAGAGAAATTTTGGCTAAAAATCCTTTGATGTAAGTACTTATTTATTCTCTGGAATGTTGTATTTACATTTTTTCCGTTTTTACCTTAATTTTAATCATCATCTCTGCTATCATGTTTCAATAATGGGGAAAAGAAGTTGGTGAGTCATATCTGGCTGGAATGGCTTCTTCTTTTTGATCCAGCTTTGACAAAAGATTCATAATGCCATTTGATGAGATGTGTATGCATGTAGAGAGCTAGGGAAATGATGAAACGTGTGACGTAAGTACGTTAAAAAGGCTCAGAATAAGACTTTTTCTTTCTTCTTTTTCGACTTTCTCATCTTTTCTTGGTCCTCATGCAACAAAAAATCAAAGTTGAGTTAATTTAATCTTTTCTCGGTTCACTTGATTGACTCGAATCGATGGAAGAAAGGGGAAAAATTGATGGTTGGAATAGGATCCTGGGCACCGGTGAGGGACAAAATATAGCAGTTGTCCAACTGACTTGCTTTATCGAGATCAACATGGAACATGGTTTTCACCGTGCAGTATTATATTTATTTCAGTCAGCGTGCAATGATGGATGGCTGGTAAATGACGACAAATATGAACAGAATATGTAGAAAGTGTTACGTGATTCTGCTTCAAAATCTAAAATTTTCTGCGTGGCACAAATCAGGATGCTTAAACTATGTATATATGTAACTAAAGTCATTAAACTAAAGTGCTTCATCAAGCTATAAAGTCCTTCGAAAGTCGAAAAATGCCACTTCTTAAAATATCTGTCCGGGGGAGACCCCAAGGGTGACCTCCACTGGTTTATTAGAAGTGAAGAAAGCCACGAAGAAATGACTGACGTAGTTTTAAACAATTAGAAAAATTGGTTCAATGTTTGGACCTAGGAAAATTTGAAGCCATACTTAACCAGACAATTAAAGGTTTTGTGGCTGCTTTGGGTTGAGTAACCTAAAGAGAATTGGTTTAAAAGCGTGACAGACAACTGTTTGCCTTTTATATTTGAGCAAAATCCCACAGGGAAACCTCTTATTTTCGAAAAAAAATCTAATGCTTTTCTCAATTTACACGGATTGGTCTGGTTACAAAATTGCTTATTGTATGGCTTCCAAGGACAATCCCTTGGGTATATTGAAGCACTTTGTAGACATTGAAGGTTATCTTCCACTTACGGAAACCTGATAATCTTAAAAGTTCTGAGAAACTAAGTAAATAAGTATCTGATTCGCTTTTAAATGAGGAGGAGGATACGTACATCACGTTTTTTAAGGATTAGGATAGACTTTCTCCTTGGGTGGGATGTTCATTTCTAATCCTTAATCTGCTGCTGATGGAAAGTAAAAGATGAGACTTTGAGCCCACTCTACAACTTTTGCTTGCTCCGATTTTTTTTAGGTTGAGTTGATAAGTACTTTGAGCATCATTTTATTATGTAAATGGTGGCCGATTTATGTACTCAGACTGCAAACATCTCAAATAACCAATCATCTCTAATAAAAATATGCATCTGTCTGGGTGTATGAATATGTATGATAATAGTTTATTAATAATAGGTGAACAGTATTTCAGTAATGTTGTAATAAAGTAAAGTAAAAATTGTTAATTATTCTGTTGGAAAGTTCGAAGCTTCTACGAGGAGGTTGGAGGGGATGATTGATGAAGTCAACGCTTATCAAACCTTCCCAGATAGAAAATAACAAATTAGTTACTTCCAACCTATTTAAACGAGAGGAACTTTTTTGACTGCATGAAAAATTATGAGCACAAATTATGAGTCATAATAGATATCCAAATACATATGATGTATTTTTGTGTCTTGGTCTTGGAACATTTCGCCCACTGAGCTCATTATTAATAGATAATTTAGTTAGAAACTTTGGAGTGTATGTATTAGATTTGCTGAAAATGGGAAAATAATTTGTTGCATCAATAAGCGTACTTCACTTGATAGGTTTATTGTAGATTATCATTTTGAAGCGTTTACTGAATCACATACTATCTGCTTAGTTTTTGAAACCACATTTCGTTAGATCCAAGCTAAACTGCGGGTGCCCACCACCTTCTCCTTGTGTACATCGTTTCTTCTTTTATTAGCCAATGAGAAGTACATAGTTTAGAGTGATCATTGTGTCGTCTTCTGTACTTGAACACATTTACCTAATCAATTTATCTGGACTAATTTTAAATTTTGTAATAAATTTATGTAGCTCTGTGCATACTTTAATTAAAGTAACTTTCTCCGTTTCAGCCGCAAAGCTGGGAGAAGGCTGCCTCAAAGCTGAAATGTGCCTTAGCCTCGATGAAAATAGGTGGGTGACACGTACAGCCAACATATTATTATGCATGGGTCAACAATGATGAGTAATATATTTCCACTAGTGACTGTATCCAAGAAGGGTTCACACCAACCTGTCAGTGCAAAAGCGACTATCACCAAATATACGACAAAACCCAATCCAAGGATCGATGTGTTCTAAGTACGTCTCTAATTTAATAAAGTCTTCGTTGCTACTTTCTCACTCTGATTGTCAACATGTTTTCCTCTTCAGAAGCGCAAATGATCAGCAGCGATTTGCTCACGCTGCTCATTGTGGGGACAGCCATGACAGGTATTTCCAAACCAAGCCTCAAAAAACCAACAATTACTTCCATGAAATTGTGCTCATGATATTTTTCATTTTTATATGAATCCGATTTTTGTACGAACAATTTTTTTATACAGGTTTTTGTGGTCTAACCTGTCTCGTTCTGCGAATCTTTGCAAGGGCACGATTCGGCCCTAGGCGAAATGGTAAGACGGAAAAAGACGATTTTAGACATACATAAGTACTATGATTACGCTCTTAGAAAACTGGTATTAAATCATTACTGACCGGAGTACATATGTGACGCTACCTGCACTGGCAATAACGGGCATTACCGTCCAGTAATGTTGTGCCAATGAAAAATTACCACGTATAAACAAACTACTACCAATCCGGTAGAAAGTTATTATCGAATCTATACCAGTATATATGACATTCTACCAGATTTTTAACAGTGTACGATTTACCATTATATAATCTTCCTACATAACAATGTCGTCTTACATCACAGGTCATTACGCCAACGCACAAGCCCCGCCGGCTGTCACCCTATCAGCCGAACAAGGTTAGTACGGAGGATAGTTGCAGGTTTTAAAGAGAAATTTGTATCCACTGACTGATTATACAGAATTTCTGGCTGTTGTGTTATCTATGTAACGTGGTGATTAATTTTCTTGTGATCTAATAACTTATTGTACTCAAATAGCGTGTGTTTAAGTTTAAACCAATGGACAACAAAGTACTGTAAATCCAACTCAATATCTTTTGTTTGTGAGAAGATTTTGTTTCATAACCGAGAATTATAACCGCTCATAACATTTCAGACTTCAAATCCACCAAATTGCATGAAATACCTTGTATTACGTTTGAACAGTATTTGATATTACTGTAAACCTCTCCTTTGTTATGCAACCAGAATTATATCCCTAATGACGAGATTTGCATGAGATTTGCAACCTATTTATGTTTTAAGCACACTCGTGAGCTAATTAATAGTTATTGTGCCGAGATTATGGAACCTTTGTCCGTTTGAGTTCCAGATATTTAAGACTTTATTACTCTACTCCTGATTAATTTCATACGTGATAGTTGTCACTTTATGTAGAATTTGTAGTGTGTATTTCGTAGTAAGTATGTGTATCTGTAGTTGTACTCATATCTAGTCGTGTTTTTGTAGTAGTTTAAAAACTTTTGCACTCAAAGCTCAATAACTCGAATGGTATCGGAATAATTTGTAGGATTTAATAATTCGACATTCGCTTTTGCACTGAATTAAGCTAAATAATATAGAAAGTATAAATACCCCTGCAAAAAAACTGAAGTTTGAGCTAGGTGGCAGTACGTATAAAATATGGTTGAAAACAGGGAAAAACTATCAACAAATTAAATGACAGTAATTTTGACATGGTGGACATTTTACTTTGTTCTCTCAAAACTCAAGACGCATTTTAGCAGGAACTATCCACTTAGGGAACGTTCATGAAATACGTAACGCATCGAAGGGGGAGGGATAGGCCAACTTGCGCCACATGTTAAAAAGGGGGGCGTAACACGCTACAAGGGGAAACGGAGGGGTAACAAAAATCTCCAACTTTGCTTTACGTATTTTGTGAACGTTCCTTTAGGTGACCATTTAGCCGAACCACGCTCACTTTCCCACTCGCGGAATTCATCACAACGTAGCTCTTTGGCTGAAATTCGACGCCAATCTGGCTCCCTTCTCGCCCCACCTACTCGTCCAGGTGGGTGGGACTACTAACTAATTTTACCATAACTCTAATTAAAACTATGTGTACTTATTAATAAATATCAAGACTCTCGTCGTGCATCCAACACGTCCATCCGATCTTCCAGCTCGAGTCGAAGTCAGCGAAGTTACTCCCTCAAAAACCCGGCAGGTCATCAAAACTATCAACACAATCAACAGCTCCACCCTTCCCTCCAACACCGACCTTCGGACCCTGAGTCCCGGTCACAGCTCAGTCTCGGTGGTGGTGGTGGTGGTGGGAGGGACAGCGTCAGCGGGGGCAGCGGAAGTGCAAACAGTGTCACTTTCAACCTTCCCCTCCCCTCGTCGTCGTCAGCAGCGTCCACGTCGCATAGTCCCACAACGAAGGCATGTCACAAATAAAATAAAAACAGAATTTACTTTTTAAAGTTTTTTATTTCTTTAAAAATTACGCAATTAGCACAAAATGTAAATTTTCCCTTTCACAATTTATAAATTTATATGTATGTATTTGTGTCGTGTCTCTCGAGGAGAGTCTTTGAGTGCAAAGTGCTTTCCGTATAAAAAATGTATTAGTATTGCTGCTTTCTCGGGTATTTATAATTTATATGTAGTGTTGCTTGCATTGTGTGTCGTGTATATAGCGTCATGAATCAAGACCGTAGTTTTTCGCATTTTATGTATGTACATGCCTAACTAGCTGGTTAAATGAAAATGTCTGCTGTCATTAAATTTTCAGGGTAAACGAAGTGGTTCTGCTGGGACACTTCCTGTCTGACTTAGTTAAGATAATGGAAGATTACGTAAACCTAAATAATAATCAAAGCAGCTTATACGTACATACTTACTTACTCGATCCTACTCTACTCTCCACCATCTCGCCGTAAATGCATATGGTAAGAAAATGTGAGGATTTTCGCAATGGTTCTTAGACAAATTCTGAAATTATTTAGATTTATTAGTTCATACATACATTTGCAAATCTCTTCGTTCGAGACGCCGTATTGCATTTTGGTTGGAGTGAGACGGAGAAAGTTAATAGAAAGCAAGCCAGCATTGATTCGTTTCTCTCTCTAGATTCGTGGCGTGGCAAGTGACAGGCTGACTTGCTTATTCACTCCAAACCAACTTTCACCACCACTACTGACACACATACTCAACCTACATGGAAACGTATGGAAGCTTACTTAAGTACGAAGAAGAATACGAATTTACTCAAGTCAGGTCCGGTGAAAGCCAAGCGACGACGACGACGACGAAAGAAGCCAAATCAGCAAATGGATAAGTATTTAGGTTGAAGAGAGACTTGTTGCCCTGCTTAACCATTAGACTACACATTAGAGATGAACATGAACCTTTGACATTTTCATGATGACGATGACAACAATGCACACAGAAGAAATATCAACAACAATCAATCATTATTTATTAATATGTAGGAACTATTATGGAGGAATATATATGTATAATAGTGTATGTATTATGTAGGATACGAGTACCTATCAATACGTGTAAGGAGAGTGGCCAAGTAGAAAACAAAATCAATCAGTAGGTGTATTTAGTGTAAAATAAGTATTAATATGATTTCATGGTGTGTGTAGTGGATTTGGTGTTGATTTAGATGCTAGAATATTTATGAAGCTACAAAGTTAAATGAAGGTTTATTGTCTACTTATCGATAATGTTCAAGTAGATATTTATGTACGAGACCATCCGTTTTATTTGGTGTCAACTATTATTCCTCTAAATACTTAAAATACGTAGGTAACTAAATGTCGTACTATATTGGATCCCAAAAGTTTCCAGATACAATATTCAGGCCAAATTTTGATGGGTATTTATCAAAATTGTTAAGATTTTTGTACAAATTACATACAAGAAATGTGAAGAATGTGTGTGTCAAAATGTTAAATATGATAAGGCACGTTGGGTCACCACACTTATCTTTATATGTATGTAGTGACTCAACGTGGCTTGAATAAAATATGAATTATGTATGTACATGTGTAACACTTATGTTCAAAATCTCATTACATTTTGGAAATATGAATAAATTGTTGTCTACATAATTTTCAGTTTCTAATGGAAATAAATGGAATGTTTAAAAAATATTTTCAATGTTAATTTCTATTTCTACGTCCAAAAACTTTCAAAAAGATACAAATCATTACCATCAAGGATCTTGAAATATTTTCCTATGAGCAGCAATGGCGAATAATCACGACTATGACTGCAGACCTGTAAGTTATTGTACCTAAAATTCCTCTTGTACACCGTATTAAATCAATGAGGATGTTCTTCCAATATACAAAATGTTTAATCGATCCCCTTCTCCCTCTCAGGGTGGAGGAGTTAAATATCGAGATGAGAATGTGGACGGGCTTGTGTACCCGGAATGCACGGTTGACGAGGATCTGGATCCTATGACCCTCTTGAAGCGAGAAATCATTCGGAAGCTGAAGGAGGAAAAGTTTTATGAGGACCTCAACAAACGACTCGACAAGTCTGAGTACCGCGTCAGGAAGGATCAACTTTTTACAAGGATGCAGATTGAGAAGAATGAGAAGGAGTATCAAGACTGTCTTTGCAAGGTATACATCTAGGTTTTCCTTACCCAGTGCTTCGTTCCTTGCGGGTTTCCTACCATTTCCTGCACTTCTAAACACGAAACGCAAGAAAGTGCAAGAAATAAGCGGCCCTTTCGGCTATAGCGTTCGGATTAGTTCGCATGCAGTTTCTTGCGCCTTGCATTTCTTGCAGGTCAAAATAAGTAGCTGCAAGAAACCACTTTCTTGCGGTTATCTTTTTGCAAGTGGTTACCCGAAACACTGTCCTGAGAATTATCTTGAATTTATCTTAAGTATACTCCCATATTCCTTATCCATACATATATCTTTCAGGTTGAGCGTGACAAACAAAGGAGACGGGAGCAAATCTGTCAAGAAGAGAGTTTTGCCAAAGCCCTCCGGGAGTTGAAGGATGAGGAAGTTCGTGAATCTGCATTCTCGTAAGTTTTCTAGAAACAAAATCCTCAGATTAGCAAACATTTTGACTCGAAAAACTCAAAGCGAAATGCATTTCATTCTTTATCCCGTGACATCTTTCCAACGAGATGAAAGGTTTTAGAAGAAATAAGCACATGTGTATGCTTCTATATTTAGTCCAACGCAATTACATATCTTTGAAAATATGGGGCACTCTTTTCATCCTTGTTGCTCTACTTAAATCCGGCAAATAATCAATATCAATATTGATCCTAAAAACTGTGATTTCGTTCTTTTTTAGCAAACAATTGTACGCTTGTGCTCCCGAAATCCGAGAGTTGGAACGCCAACTTCGTCGCGGGTACTGCGCCAAGACGCTGTTTGCTCAGCGAGTGGAAAATGAGGCGTTGAAATTGGAGGATAAGGTGAGTGAGTGGGTGGGAAGGATTGCCCTACATATTTTCATATTTTCCCGATATGAATATTTTTTTAATTAGAGGAAAGACCAAGAAACGTATCAACAACTGTTGGAAAAAATGGCGACAGAAGATGCCATCGCGGAGGAGAAACGACAACGGGATTGGATCAAGAAAAAGGAGTACTTCCAAGCTCTCACGAATCAGTTGGAGGACGCCACGTCGAAAAAGGCGCAGAAACAGGAGGAGTACGACAGAGATAAGTCCATGGTTGATGAGATCATTGCAACGATTGAGCAGGAAGAAATTCAGTAAGTACTTACAGTGGAGATCCCCCAGCGTATGCTCCCAGATTTTGAGTAAACTAGTGTCAATCGGTCACAAATTTAATGGTACCGAGAGCGGTGATGCTCTCATTTAATTATGCAATTTGAAAAGGATACGGTTTGTCAATGCTGAGGTTTGGCAGAGCTATCTGCATCCGAAGAGGATAAAATGCGTCTTAAAGTTGACAAATTTTATACTCTAGGTGATCAATTGACACTAATTTGGTCAAAATCTAAGAGCATATGTTGGGAGACCTCCCGGAAAATTTTCTATCGTAAATTATATGCTTCCCTGGACAATGATAATGATAAAGTTCATTACATGTACATTTCATGTAAAATATTGAAAGCATATTTACATAAGCATACTTCGTGGGTTTCAATTGAGATAATAGGCTTGAAAATAACGAATTTTTCTCATATTTAGACTGTAATCAATCATTCAATTTAGCCCTTATAGAATTGTTTGCTTGCATATATAATGATGCCCATAATCCTATTACTCGTTATTTGAATCGTGATAACGAAACCAATCGCCGCGTCATGTAATCCTGTCAACAAAGCAGAATTTTCTTTTGGTTAAAATCTCATTATTTTTAATTGACAATATCATTTTCTTCCTTCTTATTACAGAGATCTTGTCGAGAAGACGGAGAAAGTGAAGCTGTATCAAAAGGAGATTGGGCAATTCCTCCAGGCCAGAGATCTTCACAGAGAAAGGGAACGCCACAGAATAAAGGAAGAACAAGAGTAAGTACGCATCGACACAGCTATGTTTCCAAGAAATATTTAATAACTTATGAACTTGTGTATATAAAATCAAATAACTTCTTTTGCTTGTTAGCCAAATTCAGAGTTACGTCAAAAATAAGGAGATTCAAGTTGCGGAATACAAGAAAGCCAAAGCAGAGCAGGAGAAGGCACGAAATTCCATGGTGGCTAAAGCCATTGAACGCATTATGAAAGATCAGGTAAAACAGAAGAGGACAACTTTTTCACACAATTTTTAGACATTTTTAAAAAATTGGAATGATGTCTTCGTGACCAGTACCGCTTGGAAGAGATGGAAGAACTGCGACGAGAGTTGTACGAGGAAGAACTGGCAGCAGACGTTCGGCGACGAGAGGTGGAAGAACTTTCACGAAAAATGAAACAAATGGTCGAACTCAGAAACGCAGCAGCAGAAGCGAGGAAACTTCGAGAAGAGAAAATTCTTGCCGAGAAAAAAGAGGAAGAAGAGTACCGACAGCAATTGATGGGAAAGTTCTCTGAGGATGAACGCCTGGAGCAGATGGTCACCCAAAAACGTCGCCAGCGTGAAAGAGAGCATCGCAAAGTGGTCGAACAAATGATAATTGATCGCCGATGTCTTCGAGCCCAGGAGAGAGAAAGAGATCAGAAAATGTTGGACTGCTTCGACGAAGAGACGAAAAGACGGTGAGTAAGCTAAAAAGTTGACACTTGTTGAAGTACATTATGTGAAAAAAATAATCTTAATTTTTACCGTTTTAAGACAACTCATAATTGAGGACGAACGACTCAAGTTGCTCAAGAAACATGGGCCCAAACTGTTGGGATTTTTACCTCGTGGCGTCATCCAGAGTTGGGGGGAGTTGGAAAAATTGGGCGAACCCTTCATCAGCTATTACAAAAACCAGCCTTTGGCTCCCGACCCCACCACCATCGACACGGAACCTTGTGAAGAGGAAATCTTTAAAACGATGGAGCTGCCGAAATATGCCAAATATTGATGATATAACAGTTTGCAAATATAATATCGCAATATTTATTATCCATGTCAAAATAATTTGATAACTTGCGTAGGACATGTTAGCTTTCTAACTAATATTAAAGTATTTACATGATCAATATGTACATAATTTTATTTTTATGGGACGGATACAAATGTTGATATTGCATAAAAATATCTTGTAAATGATTGGAAAATTTTGCAAAACGGCAAACATTGTCCGTTACATAAGAAAGTATAAATATGTAGGCAGTCGACTCAGGTCTCAAACGTGTGTAAATTTACAAACCTAACGTAGTTATGTAAGTTATAAACTTGACGTGAAAACCCCCAGAGAGAAAGTAAATATCCATTTCCCCGCGCTCTATGACCTGTGTATTTCGACCTGGTTAGAAGATTTTTATAAAGCCTATTGTAAGTACGTAGGAACCAGACATGTCGGTTTTTGTTTCGAAGGATTTATGTTTCTTCATTCTTGGCCATCAATCCGACTTAATGGACCTATGTCTCGTCACAAATTATGCTAATTGTTAATGACATTTGTCGAGACGCTTTTTGGCAACTTTATTGCACTTTGCTTTTTTGGCCGTGAACGTTTTTTTCGAGACTTTGTTTAATTTTTTCTGTAGTCCTCATGTTATAATGCTGCACAGCAAACTTTTTGAAATTTTAAGTTCCAGGGCATTCACGGGACTTGACCCCAAACTCCGAAGGATTTGTAGTACTTAGTACTTACATATAAATAAATTACTTATCATAAACCCGAAACCCTTTGTTCTAGTTTTTAGGTGGTGCAAATCACCTGGGGACCTGGGGTGAAAATGAGGGGGCGCAAATGAGCCGGTAGATCTCTCCATATACCACTATTTTAGCAAATTCTCGAGATCGTTGGAATGATTGAATTCGTGAGAAAGAAGTTAGGTTTTTGGAAATTCGCCACCGTCCGACATCCTGGCAAAATTTAACAGCAACTGTGGATTTTTCTAAAAATCATATAACAGAAAATACAAATTACCTATTTGTAGTTTTTTTAATGCGTAAGATGAACAATTTAAAAACTCAATATGTATGTATAAGTAAACATGTTTTACCATGTCTTGCAAAAGATTGTTGCACCCAAAGCACCACCCCTTCTCACAAGGGTCCAGGTCTTTCTCCACATTTCGCTACATAAATTAGAAACAGTGTGTGGTTATTGGAACGTTAAAACAAAGACATTCGTTTATACTTATTTTCACCAACCTTGCAAAGAAAACAGGTCTCCCGTGGTGGCAGATTGTCAACGGTACAAGATCCTTTCAGTTTTAAACCAATCTTTGTTAAAACCGAGCCAGTGTCACAATGAATTTCTTCCAAATGGTTGATAAAATTCGAGACTTCAATTTGAAGGGACGGAGGGCCGATTTTCTTTTCACTATTTAAATTATTATCTTTCGGATCCAATAAATCTGAGTATTCATCAAACGTGGTTAAATAGTTTTGGAGTTCCTTATCATCAAAGTCAATGATCACACGATGGATGAAAAAATCATTCCACGTTGAGGTGAAGGCCTGCCAAATGACAAGGAAACACTTCAATATTCGTTTTTGGGCACACTAAATTTCAATATGAAGCCGTTCGTGGAATTGAAAATTGTAAAACAAACAATGTCTAATTTGCGAATAATAATAAATGACTCGCCATTTCCTCAGAGATTTGACCGCCTCGCCCCAAGCACATCATCTTGAATAATTTCCGGCTCAGGGACGACTTGGTGTCGTGAATTAAGATATGTTGTATCTTCACGCTCATCGTTTTGGCGCAGAAATGTGTAGCTATCATTCTGAAATTCAATCAAACGAACAAATATTAATTGTTAATAATTAATTTACAATCAAATGTAATATTACTCAGCAATTGAAGTAAAATCTTCTTTGGAGCTCTCAGACTTAAAATCCTCCAATATCGGCTTCAAATTTACTTTTTCACTTCTCGGAGCATGGCGATTTATTAATTGCTCGAGTTGTGAGGTACGCATCCTAATATCACCGTTACTGTCCACATTTTTACAGGCCTCCAAGGTAGCACGAAGATCCGCGACATCATCAACATGATAAATTTCGCCTACAACCAACCAAAATTAAAACAAGCCAAAGGTGAAGAAGAAACGAGAACAATTATTATTTCCTACCCGATGTCGACAACACAAAGTATTTGAATGGAAATGATAACCGCTTTCGGGCAGGATTAACAGAAGCACCCTTTGCTCCCAAACATAATGATAAATGTGCAGCGGAAGCCATCGATCCATCCCAGATTAATAGAGCCGGTACTGGGTCCTCAAATAATTCCCTGTTTATCGAATGTCCAGCAACTTCCATCAATCGCTTGTTGACCTTGGTCTCCATCTTATCCTTCAAGCAGAGTCTGTAAAGATAGAACCGTAATATTAATAAGAGAGTCATATTATGTATTATGAGTATCTGGATTTGGCTGGGTTCGAAAGAAAATTTCAAATCCCAGCTACAATAACCCAACATTAATACATAAAATTTTAAGTAGTATTAGAAATTGAAGGAGAACATGCTAATTAATTGCAATTTATTTAAGAAATCACGAGTCACGAGTCGGTGGCGACACTACCACTCACGACAGCTTTAAAACTTAAATGATCACTTACCGGCAGTAAATATTTCCCCCCATGTCCTGAAAAGCTGGAGAGTCTGACGTGCTCTCTCCACACCGGAAGCACAAAGCCATGACGGCAGAAATTGGTGTTAAGATTAAGATTACGATAATTTATTATTTCAAAACGAATAAATCGCAAAACTTGTGACTATTTTGCAAAAGCACATGGATTTCACAAATGCTCCTGCTGATGTTGGGAATTGGAATTTCGAGCTGAATGAAGTTTCATGTTGCCTCGTCGTTAGACAAAGGATTTAATCATAATCAAAAGTTCGGTCCATGCAAAATTGTTTGAGTCAAAATTGTATCAAACAACTGGTCTCGAACCTCCGTCATCCGTGTGGCTGTGGCTGGACTTTAATGGCGCTGTCGTTTCACTTAATGAGCGGAACAAGAGTCAGAATTAACAGATTGGATAACCGCACTGGGAAATTCCAGCACTAAAGTTTTCTAATAATGGATTTAACCAAATACAATCTATACAATAAGCAGATTATTGATTAGCATGAATTTAGTTTAGCCTCGCAGGTCTGCAGAAGGCAACATGAAACCAAATGGTACGAAAATCCTAAGAAAATTCTACTTATTCCCAGAACTTGGCTAATTTTTGGTTATTAAAAAGTCTTTTTAATGACAACGAGTAGCTTGTATTTGTATGTACACGCATATTCATGGCCACTTTGGCAACATTAACAAGGCATAATGCAATAGTACATTTTTTACTGATCTACTATACTTATTAAAATCAAGATGGACAAAAAGAAACTATCCCAAAGAAAGTATCAAGTAAAAATTGATCCGTCTTTCAATAATTGCAGTGTAGATGATTTTAGTATAGTTTCAAGTATATCGTACTCCTCCTCTATGTTTTGGTCCCTCATGGTTCATGCTCCTTTGTTCTTGAAACTTTCGTAAAGTCAATCGGATTAAAATCTGTTTACCACAAACCCTGTCACAATCACTGAAAAAGAACTCGACAATGGAAAAGGAAGCCGACATCCGACCTGACAAATTTTGAAATGTATCTATCAGTTCCTTATCTTGAAAATATTTTGAGGTAAAATGGAATTTTCTTCGTTAAAAGCATTCTTCATCGTATACAGAATTCAAATACACATTGTACATGGATGTGGTCACAAAGCAGTAATAAGAAGGGGCGTACAAGCAGGGAAACCGGAATGTCTGTCACTTTTGTGTCAGTCAGGGTCCTACAATTACAAAATCAAAAGTATCACCAGAACAATGTGGTTTCACTCATCCATCCGGAGAGACAAGTAATGACAGGTGACGAGCACTTTATGATGAGGGCACAAAGGATTTTGTCACTTGACTTTTGGTCGGTATGTACAACTTTGATGAATTCTAGTCCAGTGACACTTTTATGGCGTAAATGATGTCAAAATAAGTACAAGTTTAGATATCGGGAACAAGACAAGGCATTTCATAGCAATTATTACAGAAATATGCATGTACATATGTATGTTTTTAAGTACCGGTAGGTGATTGGATGTATTGAATAAATCTTAATTATTTTAATTATGGAGAATGTTTTTTGTAATTTCCAACTGCAACCTGCGATTATAATTTATTTGTAAACAAAATTAGCCCAAATTCATACGCTAATTGTATGTGCTATATAAATATTAATTTTTGTATTTTGATTTTTTGCATGCAATTAATAAACCATCTTCGCAATTATCAATAATTGTGAGAGGAATTATGTATGTGTGTAAGGCTGGAATTGCAATGCTGCTTTGAATTGATAACTGGTGGTAAATTAATCAAGAAGAAATTATGACAAGTAGGACACTTTCGATCAATTAAATATGCGATTTTTTCTTGTGCAAGTTTCAATTGTGGTGATAATTATTTTTGTAATACGACTGATTCATTACACAGCATTTAAATATATGTATTGCATCTTTTTACATTAAATCGAAGCATATTTTTGTAAAAATCAGCGTAAAAGAATTAAATTATGACTATAATTTTACTACATACTTCATGTTGCATTTTTTCCACTTTTTCCGAAATTATTAAGTATTCAGTATAGCCTAAAATTAAAATTCGCAAGTCCATAACGCGTAACCTTTCCAAATAAAATAGCACTTATTTCAATTAACAAGACAAACTGATGCTTAAATCTGGATTCACAATAAAGAAATTGAAAATACAGCGTGCATTCTTGACTTGATTTTTCTACTTCTATAGCCCCAGTCAAGGCTTATGGAATCAAAATTGCTACCTTAGGATTAGTCAAAATTGCTTCACAGATTGAGTTCAAATTTTCACATGTATAAAGTTGGGAATTAAATTCGAAGTTGAGCAATATTGGTTAATTGGTTTACCGGTGAAAGTCATGTAGGTTATTATCCACAAAATAGTGTTAGAAAGCCGAAATTTTTGCACACAATTGGTAATGCTTGAAATGAAAGCTTCTGATGTGAAATTGGGAAGATTTTCAATCAGAGTGACGCTAGAGGGTGACCCATACCGTATGTTTTAAACGGTTCCTATTTTCAGCTTCAACTTGGCATGGAGTCTAAAAATGACTTTTGCATAGGAAATACAATTTTGGAAGCTCGGGCAGTATTTGAAAGAATTGAACCCACTGGTCCTGGTAGGCAGGAATAGAAGAAGTGTCCCAAATAATATAAAATACATTAACAAACATTACGGGGGTGGTAATAATTCGGATAAAAATCGGACTCTGTCCCTGACTCGGGCTAATTGAAGTATGTAAGTTATACATACATTTCGTGCCTAATGCTAAGGTTTTAGTTTTAGCCGTATTTATTTTTACGAATTTCCTCCCTACTTAAGTTAATGAGGGCTCGTTTGTAAAGTTAACCTTGTAATTTACACGAATTACGTATTCTCAGACATATTTATCTATGTAGAATAATAAATATTAAGTTATAAAAAAAATGACCAAAAGACGGAATTTATAAAATTGCATCAGACCACACACATGACACATGTACATACAAAAAGAATATCGGAATTTCACCCGATTCCGATAAAAAAAAACCAGTCTACGAAAATATATTGGAACAAGTAATGTTTTTTTGTTCAAATAAGGATCCCGATTACTCAAGCCGTGTACTTTTCATGTTTATTACGAGCAAAGTGAAGCCAATCCAATTAGTTTGTAGCGTGATAATGTTTTCCTTTCTGCTCGTTTGTTAGTCTTATTTGAGGAGAGTCGCCTAAATAATGGAAACATGCAATTGGCCGCGTATGCAAGCTCGGATAGTAATAAAGTAAAGTGGTCTCGTTTGAAATTTCAAGATATCACGAAATTAATGGATTGTTACAAAATTCCTAAATCGAGATGAGTGCTTATTCATCATCACGGCATGTCATATCACATGGAGAAAAGTAATTGGTCGTTGACTTACTGCAGACATACAAAGTTTCGTCCATGTCATGTTGTAAGGATTACATACATATTAGATAGTTGGCCAGGCTTAAAAAGTTGTGTAATAAAAGCAACGAGTACACTGTATCAGTAAAAGCGAAATAAGAACATGGCTGGATGGATGGAGTAAGTAAAGCGTGTAACTTATCGTGTCTCATCTAAATATGCACCTTGTTACCTAATTGACTAACACCTTCCTTAAAAGTGATAATAATGGACAATAAATGCGTCCACTATAAGCAAATGCATGTCCTACTAAATACGATGGATAGAAATTTGAGCATGATTTTTTAAGAATTGGCTATATTTCATGTTAAACAAATCCTTATCCATCACATAGTGGCGAAACTGATGAACTCGGCGGGGTAAAAAGTTCACGAGTTTCGGTGGGAATTTTGAATTATTTGCAAAAAACTGCAAAACTCATCTGGAGTTGTTTATGTTTTTAGTGGTTTCCAGTGTGTGGTGGCAGCTTCCCACCACACATACTCTATGACGAGTTGAGACTAATCTCAAAAAGTAGTACAATTTTGACATCATTTTTCACTTTGCGGGTTTCAATGTACACGCATAAGTTTGAAATTTTCAGAATATAGCTGTCATTAGTTTTGCAACAAATTACCATTCATCGATAAGCAATTGTGATTGTAGTTTTATTTATATTAATCAATATTTGTGCAAATTTCGGTAATATTGAGATTATTGATTAATATAAATAAATCTACAATCACAATTGCTTATCGATGAATGGTAATTTGTTGCAAAACTATTAATAATTATATTGTGAAAATTTCAAATTTTTGCGTGCACTTTGAAACTCTCAAAGTGAAAAATACGGTCAGACTTCTGGACTCATGCGTAGTATAGAGAGGAAATGCAGAGCGAGAGCTCTTCTCGCTCAATAGAGCGAGGAGATAAAATATCACGCAGGCTTAAGTTGTTTTTCAGTTCTGGGTCCATTTTTGGTGCACATCCATCCAATTTGTGGATAACTGTGTCCCGGATTTTTGAATATTTCAAACCATGTCCTGTCTCTCGTAGGCTGTCAAGATTCTTATCTTAACGAAAAGGAATATCATGCATATTCGTTATTTCTTGCTTATTTACTAATCCAGATAACACCTTGTCTTAGAAGCGATGCGTATTATGTCAGTTTGAAAAAAAAGATAGTACACTCATATAAATAAATAATATTTAGATCTTGATCTCGGCTAGTATTTTTATTTTTTCCACAATATTTCTCGTCTTTTTTACAAAAATTTGATTTCTCCTGTTATTTGTCTTCGTTAAGGAGTCATCATTTTGAACTCGGCAACTAACAAACTTGTTCTTTCACCCTGCCCGCGTATGTATGCATTGCTATCTCCTGATTTCATGATGATAGCAAAACAAATGGTCATCATCATATCGTCAATCTAAAAAAATCCACCATCTTGATTGTTGATTGCTGATTGAGGTAAATTATTACACCTCCTCACTCACGGACAGTTGAGAAGACTCGCCTTAAACAATCCGCAGCCAGAGAACAGTTTACAATTTAGAATTTAGCCATAATTTCTTCCCTTCAAAATCAAACGGTGACTGGATGCAAGGAAGATGATGATGATTACCCTAATTTTCATCATAATTGATAGAATCAACAATCAAGAGAGTCGAGAGATGGATGAGTTTATATGTTTTTTCTTGCTTACGGGTATGTGCACATCCATAGCTTCATTAGTGCAGAGGGGAGACTTTTCACTAATCAGAATAAATTAGTGGGTATCCTACATAATGCGCTTCTAGCGAGTGTGTACATGCGTTAATTTGTGTATTACTTTTATTCATAGTCCCTTCTTGTATGTACATATTCGACTAATTGTAAATACGTACTAGGTTATAGTACTTGATTATTTACTTGATTTTTCTCGTGTCTTGTAAATTTAGTACTTCTGTCTGGCGAAAGTGGAGTAC